TATTATTATTATTATTATTATTATTATTATTATTATTATTATTATTAACAATTTATTCACTTTGTATCCTAGTTGTAGCCTCCTCCCTCATCTCCTCCAGGTCCCAGTCCCATTCTCCCTCCCTTTTCCTCCCCTATCCCTCACCCCTAGTCCACTGACAGGGGCGATACTCCTCTCCTACTGTCTGACCCTAGCCTATCAGGTCCTACCAGGACTGCCTGGATCCTTTTCCTCTGTGGCCTGGCTAGGTCACCCCATCAATGGGGAAGTGATCAAGGAGCAGGCAACTGAGTTCATGTCAGAGACTGCCCCTGCTCTTCTTATTAGGGGGGCCCATCTGGAGACTGAGCTGCCTATGGGCTACATCTGAGCAGGGGGTCTAGGTTCTCTCTGTGCATGGTCTTTGTGCTTGCTGTTCTTGTAGAGGATCCAAGTTTGATTCTTGATGGTTTACAGTAGTCTGGCCTCTGAGAGGGCCAGGCACATGGTGTGCAGGCATACAGAAAGGCAAAATACTCACACACATGAAATAAGATTAAAATTAAAAAATAAAATAGAGAAGCCAGTTAGAAACATCTGGTTTTACACTCAGAGATGTGAAATTATGTGAGTGGAGGCTGTTTGTCCCTGCAGTAGGTCTTTTTTAAGTTGATCACTCTGTAAATGCAGTAAGGTGCTGACACTGGGATACTGGTGTTCTCAATGCTACGTCAGCAACTTTTATGTCAGCTGGAGTAGCCACACATGCTGCTCAGCTATAGTACTGGAGCCTCTGAGACCCCTTCTATTTGTGTTCTTTCCAGGGGCTTCACCGTAATCTGGGCTTTCATGGCTCTGTTAGCTTTCTTATAGAGCATGCTCACGTAGGTTAATTCTGCTCCTCAGAAATGAGCCTGCTTCTCAGTGACATAGGAAACACGGAGTCTACTTTTTTTTTTCTTTCTTTCTGTTTTGTTTGTTTTTCGAGACAGGGTTTTTCTGTGTAGCCCTGGCTGTCCTGGAATTCACTTTGTACATGTGGCTGGCCTTGAACTCAGAGACCCGCCTGCCTCTGCCTCCTGAGTGCTGGGATTAAAGGCCTGTGCCACCACTGCCCAGCTTTTTCTTGAACATTTAATGTGACTTTGAAACATGTTATTTTTCATGCTGGAGATTGAATATAACCTTGTGTGCTTGGTAAGCACAACCGTTTCAGTTTTAGCTGGTTAGGTAGTTAATATTCATGAAACCATGAGGCTAATGTATTAGTCAGGTTTTTCACTTTACTTTTTCTTCATTTTCCCTCCCCTTTCCATTTCTTCTCCTCATCTCATTCTTCTTTTCCCCTCTACCCCTTTCTCATTCTCTTGAGACAGGCCCGCCTGTGTAGCCCTGTGAGCCAGACTTGCCTTGAACGTGCTGGAGTCTTTGTGCCTCCGCTCCCTGAGTGCCAGGGTTACAGGGTTCTGTCATCCCGCCTGGTAGCTCTGTTCTGATACATATCAGAACGGATGATAACTATCCCAGTGAAAACGTTCATGTGTATGCTATCAGCAGTAACCCTTCAATTGTAGGGAAGCACTTTGCTCAAGTGTGATGTACATTTTAAATACCAAAAATATTAAGTAGCAACGGAAAATAACCTTTGTGTCCCCGTGCTTTTCTTGTACCCTGTGCGCTTTGCAGATGCCGCCATGGCCCCTTGGGGAAGTGTGTGCACTGTGTCCCACTGGAGGTGAGTCTGTGTGGAGAGAGTGGCCAGCGGCTGGAAGAGCTGCCTCAGCACTTCATGTCCCTAGACTTGGGTGTTTTGGCTCTTAAGAGAATGTTTCTATTTATTGTCTTGGGCCTTATATTCCCAGTAGTACAAGTGGCACAGAGAATCTAAGAATTATTTATGGGAGTGACCTTCGAGGGGGATTATGAATGGCTGAGGCATTTGTGTTGCTGTGATGAAGGGGCTTCCTAGATAATTCTTCTCTGACACATGGCTGGGCTTCTCAGTTCCTGCTTGTCGTGGTTCTGATTTACTATGTCTGAGTCTTAGGTTTCTTGTTGATTTCTCTCTCTCTCTCTCCTCTCTCTCTCCTCTCTCTCTGTCTCTCTGTCTCTCTCTCTCTCTCTCTCTCTCTCTGTGTGTGTGTGTGTGTGTGAGAGAGAGAGAGAGAGAGAGAGAGAGAGAGAGACACTGAGGATTGAACTCTGGACTTTGCCTTTGAAGGGCAAACACTGTCACTAAGCTGTATCCTCAGGCCTCTTGTGACTTTGTTAGGGCTTTTGTGTTTTAATAGTTAATTTTATCTCGAAAAAATATAACTAGTAGAGAGAGAAACCTGATTCTAACCTTGAAATAATGAAGACCCAGCTTAGGCTCCTTCATTGTGTCTGTGCTGTCTGGTCTGATCCCCTGCACGGTGAGAGTCGGAGTCTTACGTACCCTGGCAGACCCGTCAGCACTCATCTTCTGTGCACGGTTTGACAGCCATTTGATGAGGACTATCTGAACCACCTGGAGCCTCCCGTGAAGCACATGTCCTTCCATGCCTACATCCGGAAGCTGACGGGAGGGGCCGACAAGTACGTATCCGCTGTGGCCCAGGCTTACAAATGTTTCATGCATTTCTGACGATTTTTTCCTTATAGTCACTGGGCATGGGAGTGTGGAAGTAAAGCAAGGCTGTGCAGAAAGCTGCAGTAGAGTCTTGAAGCTGGGAGAGAGACTGGCACATCCCAGCTGTGCAGTCACAATGCTCAGAGACACAGGCAAGACTCCCAGCCGCTGGCAGGTGTGGAGGTGCTCTGGAAGTCTGGGAGTCCCCGCTGCCTTCTGTTTTTCAGAAAGACAATAATTACTCCGTGAGGGTCTCGGCTCTAATCTTAGCTCCCCAGGGTGCTCCATGTTTGTCAGCTTTACTTTTACAACTCTAATGGGCCTGAAGCCACAACACAAACCATGGCTTGCATTCTGCTGCCACAGGGCCTCTAGTTTATAGACTTGGTCAGATGGGTTGCATAAGCAGCCTCCTCTTTCCCTGAATGCTGGTGGTGGCAGTGGCTAAAAAAGTGAACTAAGGCTGGTTTTGTTTGGTTTTACCACAGCCTTTGCTAGGTAGCTCTGGTTGGTCTTAAACTTGAGCTCCTCCTGCCTTAGCCGCTATGTGCTGACATAGATTTTATACTGTCATTCTTGGCTGCATTTGATTTCTTTTTAACCTGAATGTGTCTGCGTAGCTCCTTTTGTATAGACCTGTCCAGAGAAAAACAGAATTCCTGGTAGCTTTGTAATTCTTGTCACTGATAGGAGGAGATGATATTGAGTCCAAGTTAGCAGCATTTTTGTTGAAAATGCCTACCTGATTGTAGCTTTTCTCTGACAAACTGCTGACACCCAAAATATCTTTTAATTTTTTGTTCGTTTGAGCCAGGGTGCCTGTGTGTCGCCCTGGCTATCTTAAAACTTACTCTGTAGACCTGCCTGCCTCTGCCTCCCTAGTGCTGGGATTACAGGTGTACTTCCCCCTACACCTGGCCAAGGCAAGGTGATCTGAACTCATCGCAAGTTTGGCATCCGCAGTGTCTTAAGCATTGAGTCATCATCAACACCAAAAACATATAGTTTTTATTTAAACAAAACAAAACAAAACAAAACAGCTCACATGGTGTGCGTTAAACATGCATAAAGTTTTACCAGTTATTGTTGGCGTACTTTAAAAACAACTCTTTACATTTCTGTCATCTTTTTTCTCCCTACTCTACCCAGTCCCTTCCAATGCCCCAGTACCAGGTGTAGAGAGAAAGGGTTTGTGGGTGAGAGAGTACACAGTTCTCCTACCTGCTTCCTGCTGGTTGCGGTCATAGCTGCGCTTTCTCCTAGTGACACCAGTTAGATAGTGGGCTCTCAACAGTGTTCTTGAACGCCTCCTGGCTGAGGAGAGCTGCGTCCCCTGCAGGACACCAGAAGACGGGAGCTTCCGCTTCACTAGAATGCCCTCAGTGCATTGCCTTGGCTCTTGTCCCCAGGAGCACTGATAGTGGCTGTAAGCTGTCGCAGGCACCTGCTCGTCTCCTGCTTGACTCTCCAGCATTATGCTTAACTAAGTCACTGTTTTCTCCCTCAGGGGGAAGTTTGTTGCCCTGGAGAACATCAGCTGCAAGATTAAGTCAGGATGTGAGGGACATCTCCCATGGCCAAATGGTATTTGTACCAAATGCCAACCTAGTGCCATCACGCTGAACAGACAGGTGAGGCTTCACTGTGTTCCTGAGATTTGGTTTTTTGACTAACAAGTGGACACCTTCTTTGTGGCAAATTCTGTGGTGTTTTGTTTGTTTGTTTGATTCATTGATTGATTCATTCATTCAGTTATTGTTTGTTTGTTTTTGTCTTTATGCCAGTGTTTCTCTGGGTAGCTCTGTGTAGTGGCTGTCCTGAGCCTTGATCTGGAGACCAGGCTGGATCTGCCTGCACCTGCCTCCCAAGTGCTAGGAATAAAGGTGTTCGCCACCACACAGGGCTTTAGTCACAGGTACACTGTGTGTCTGTGGGATGTGTGCCTGAGGTCAGGTAACTGAATAGGGCAGAAGAGGGAGTGAGATCTTGGAGGCAGAGTTACAGGGATGTGGGTTCCCACTGTGGACGCTGTGAACAGAAGTTGGCTCCTGTGGCAGGGCGGCAGGTGCTCTTAGCTGCGGAGCCTCTAGCTCCTGGTGTTCCAGGTTGACCTCCTACCTTCTGTGACGGATACAGATGAAGGGTAAGTTTCTGGGCAGCAGGGGGGGGGTGAGGACTTTGCTTCCATTTGTTTGGCTTGTGCTCTTTGGAAGATCAGCCAGTGCTCTTAACTGCTGGGCCATCTTCAGCTCAAGAATGGATTTTCCTTAAAAGTCTTTTTTTTTTTTTTAATATTTATTATTTTCATTTTATGTGTGTGAGTATTTGCCTGCCTGGATGTATGTGTTGTGTATGCACATGGCCAGAAGATGATTTGGAGGCCCCAAACCAAGAGGTACAGGCCACTGAGTGCTGGGAACTGAACCTCTGCTCCTCTGATAGAGGCTGGTGCTCTTAACCACTGAGCCTTCTCTTCAGATCCCCCTTCTAAATGTATTTTAGTTATTTTGTTGTTTATTTTGGGAGGTGGGATTTTCTTGGAGATTTTTAAATGCTCAGTGATTGTGACTTTGCCTTTAAGAACATATTACATGGAAGTTAGTCACAAAGGCTCCCAACATCTGTTCAGAGATCTGCTTGGGCTCAGAAGAGCCTGGCTCAGGAGAACGCTGTTCTGGCTTCCTGCCTGTCTCTGTGGCTAATGAAAACCACTCATTGTGTCCTTCTCCTGCTCTGCCCGTCATATCTAAATCCTTGGAGACTATAGATTTTGAGAGTCTTTGGAATCTTAATATTCCTTTCTTCCTTCATTCTTACTACTTTGCACTTTGGAAACCTCCATTTCAGGTAAAAGCACAGTGAGCTTATTTCCAGTTTATTGATCATCAGTCAATACAATTTCATCAGATTCTCCTTCCCCTGTACCCCTGATCTCTAAAGAACAGATCAGTTTGCATGCCTGCCTTCCTCCCTCCTGTTTTAGAGGCAGTCTCTGACGCTTTCCTTTAGTTCAGGTTGGCATCAAATTCAAGGCAATCTTCTTTGTGTCTCCTGAGTGTTGGGATTGGAAACATAAGGGTCACTGTCCTTGGCCAGAGTAGGTTCTTCGGTTTGGGCTTAAATTACAGTGCTCAGGCTGGGCAAGTCAGCGATGTACCACTGGCAGCATCTGTGAACCACACCTTTAAGCCTCTGGGGTTTGTTTGAAGAACGGAGGCTGGGTCCAAGCTGAAATACAAACACTGGGGCTAGGGGTATGACCAGGGTAAGAGTGTTTGCTGCTCTTGCAGACGTTCCGGGTTTATAATTACAGTCTGAGACCATGCATGCAGGTGGTGTGTAGACATACATACAAGCCAAACAAAACAGAAAACAAAACACAAATCTTAAATAACAACAACAACAAAAAACCCAAAGCCAGAGCTAGGCCAGGGGTGGTGGCACATGCCTTTAATCCCAAGCATTTGGGAGGCAGAGGAAGGTGACTCTCTCTGAGTTCAAGGCCAGCCTGGTCTACAGAGCAAGTCTAGGAAACCAGGGCTGTTACACACAGAAACCCTGTCTTGAAAAACCAAGAAAACAAAACAAAACCCTGGATAAATGTTTTCAATAGGTTTGTTCTTAAAAAACAATATTGTTTCTAATGGAATGTTTTCATTTAAGCCTACTTTTGTTAACTCTGCAGAAATACAGACATGTGGACAATATCATGTTTGAGAATCACACTGTTGCTGACCGCTTCCTTGACTTCTGGAGAAAGACAGGAAACCAACACTTTGGGTACTTGTATGGACGGTACACAGAGCATAAGGACATTCCACTTGGCATCAGGGCTGAAGTGGCTGCAATTTATGAGCCTCCTCAGGTATGTGAGTGCAGGAGCTACTGTGTATGGAGGTCTGAGGTTGTTCTTAAGGTGCTGGGAACTGCCTTCCAGGAGGCCTCTTTCTCTTTGTTTTTTCTATAACTTCTCTATCTCTTGTGTACTCTTGGGCATGCACACATTACACATCCGTGTGATAATTATTGGAGAATAAGATCACAGCCCATAGGGCAGCACTCACAAAGCTCAGGGTTCTGTCCCTACTGCTTTATCATCCACATGTGGTAGCATCTGCCTGCAACCCCAGCATTGGAGAGGTGAAGGCGGGGCGATCGGAAGTCTAAGATCACTCACCAGTGGTGGTGCATGCCTTCAATTCCAGTGCTTGGGAGGCAGAAACAGGTGGATCTCTGTCAGGTCAAGGCCAGCCTGGTCTGCAGAGCTAGTTCCTCACAAGCTGGAGGCTAGCCTAGGATACATGAGACCTTGAATCAAAAAACCTAAGCAGTTTGACTTCCAAAAGGAAACGAATGTATAGGTTCTTGCTTTATTTCTTTTGTCGTGTGTTTGTGCTTTGTGTGTGTGTGTGGCTGCATGCCATAGCACGCGGGGTGGTCAGAGAGCTTGCTGGACTCTGCTCTCTCTCTCCACCACGTGGGTGCCAGCGGTCAACTCAGGTCACCACACGTGCTGGCAGACCTCACCTCAGTGTTGGGTCACTCTGCCCCTCTCACTTCACTTGCTTTCTAGACCATCTGACCCAGGGCCTCATGTGACCCTGGGCCTGCGGACATGAGCGCAGTGTGTGCTTTCTGCGGAAGTGCACGTGCCATCCCTGCCTTGTAGCAGATTCCCTGTGTGTGCCACCCCACTTTGACACTTCGGCATTTGGATTGAGCTGTGTGAGATTGTAGAAGTCTCGTGTGTTGCTTTGTTCACAAAGAAGTGGCCAGTGGTGCCTGACACCCTACAGTGAAAGCCACTCATGCAGACCTTGGATTTTGGAGTGCTCTCCGATTGAAGTGCTGCTTTGTGAACTCGGAGCCTCAGCTCAGTTTTGTACATCTCTGTCACGGACAGTGTAGCAGTTATACTAAAAGCATAATTGAGGCTCAGGGTGGACACTCACCCCTTAGATCCAAGTGCCCGGGAGACCAAGGCAGGTGATTGACGTTCAAGACCAGGCTGTGCTACATATTGAATCTGAGTCCAAGTGAGACACTGTCTAAAAAAAAGTAGGGTGTGGCAGCCAACACCAGTAATCCTAGCACTGAGGAAGTAGAGGCAAAGGGCCCTTGCAGTTTTGAGGCCAGCCCAGTCTACATAGTGACTCTGAGACCTGACAGCCACGTAACGAGAGGCTGTCTCAAAAGACCAACCCAGTGCCTCAAATGCCAAAACAACTATACATACTCATATTTTGGGGCAAAGAACAGAAACTTCTGGCATTCTGACTGCTCTCATCAGTATTGGGTCCCAGAGGCTGAATTCTTTGACGTTTTAAGGCCATGTACCCATAGCAAGGTAGCCCATGTCATCTTGATGGTGGGCAAGTATCTCATATTTACCCCAGGTTGGTTTTGACATGTGTTCTACTTGATGAAATCCAGCAAATATAAAGTCATTGCTCTTCTGCTAGAATTTTAATTTACAAGGTTGTATTCCATCAAAGTCTCATAGTTTGGGATGTCCTTTCTTTTTAACCCCTATAACTGGGGTTTTGGATTAGCATGATACTTCCTCATGATGTTGGAGCTGCATTTACATGGAGAGTAAATATTTTGTCTACTTCAGGAAGTGTACCTATTATCACTTAAAATATTGTCTCCTCTACATTTGTTTATATTTATTTGTGTGTACACAGTGGAGGTCAGAAGAGAAATTGCAGGAGTGGGTTATCTCTTTCCATCATAAGAAATCTGGGGATAAGCTCATGTTGGCACTGTTGGCGGCTCAACTTGCTCAGTCATCAGGCCAGCCCCTGTTAGCAGTTTAGGTTGCATATGCGCCAGCCAGAGCCAGAGCGGACCAAGTGCTCAGGCTGAATGTTCCCCTCGTGATGAGAAGGTTACAGTCTGAGGTGTCTGTTCTGGTTCTGTTGTTAGACAGTCCCTTTGGCTCAGTGTCTTGACCATAGGACCAAGGGTCTGTCATTTCTATAGCAGAAGGGTACAATGCATCAAGGTGGTTCTGGGATGTCTGCTACCTTACAGTTTCAGTCCTCTTGCTAGCCAAGCTGTCTAGAGCAGAATTACCTATCTGTGGGAGTTCTGAAAGCAGCTCTGTTCCCCAAGTGAAGGCACCTTTCAAGCAAACACCAGAGGCAACCTTCCTTCAGGGCCTTTTTTGTTTGTAGCTGTAGATATCTTGGGTGCATTGTGGCTGGTGGGTGGGAGTGGAGGTTGCAAGTCTGTCTCAGTGCTTTCTAACTGTGCTTCCTCGTAGATTGGTACACAGAACAGCCTGGAGCTTCTGGAAGATCCGAAAGCTGAGGTGGTTGATGAGATTGCTGCCAAACTTGGCCTGAGGAAGGTACGAGGCCTCTGCCAGCCAGATGGCCTTTGGGGAAGCCTGGGCTCCTATTGGGGAAATCCACACAGATGGAGTGGCTCAGTCTGGGACCAAACCCCCAGCTGACAAGATCAAGTGTAGGCTCCATCCCTTCATCCCCTCAGCTATGTTATTGCTGCTAATGGGTTTGATGGTTCTCTGACTTAGAGGGACGTGAAAACATTTTCTAAAGTATGAATGCAAAGCTGAGCGTTATGGCACCTATATGTCGACTCTATTGTTGTCCCTGCCCCCCACACTCTGCTGGCTGAGGCAGGATGATCAAGAGTTCAAGGCTAGCCTGGTGCATAGAGCAAGACCCTCATCTCTAAAGACCACATAATGAGGTATGAAGACATGCCTTTTCAACCTGATAGCCACAGCCCCTGCAGACACACTGCACACACACTATAGGCGTGCTCACTGCTCATGTGGCTTGCTTCACTCTCTGCCGTGGACACTTGGTGCCAGTGTCCGTCCTGCATGAGCATTAGGCTTCCTGTGCATAATGGAGGTCACTGAACCTGCGGTTTTCCTGGTCTCTGGGACAATTAGTGGGTAGGAGGAGAGTCCTTTCAGTCCATTCCGTGGTTTGTCCCACTCTTGATAATGGTCGTAGGAATGGTAGATTGTGGTTTGGTTTAAGACGCTTTCTTGTTTTGTAGCTCACACTGACCTCAGACTTAAGTCCTCCAGCTTCAGCCTTTCGCTGTGAGGATTATAGGCATAGGCTACCACCCCTGGCTTGTTTGGATTTACAGGCTTTTTGAACCATATATTGGAACACATTGTGGAAGTTCAGTATTAGTAGCCTTGGAGGTTTTGTCCTGTATTTGCACTATCTGTGTGGATCGCTTCATCTTTTCTTTCTCTCTCTGGGTAGGCAGGAAAGCCTAGAAGCACGACTGGGAAGTCCCACATGGCTTTACTGTGTTGAGGCAGAAACACCCTCCAGACTTTGGACCCAGCATCTTTGTATCGGTCACAGTTTAGCACAAATTCTGGAAGCTCTTTTGTTGAGAAGAGAAACTGGCCAATGTTTAGAGCTGTGTGTGATACAGGCTTGTGCTTCTTAACATCGTGGCAACGTCTGGAGTTACTTAGGTTATTTGTCAAAACCCATGTTCTTTGCTCTTACCTCAGCTAATCTGGACTGAGCCAATTAAATGGATCTTCTGTGCTTAATTTCTGTATTACCATCCTTTTTGTGTGTGGTCATCAGAGTGCTGTTACACCAGTACTGACCCATGTGCCAGGCCTCTGTGTAGTCTCCGGTTCTGTTGGAGAGGGTGGTGGCCATCGGTCAGCTCCTCAAGGATGGAAGTGGATGCGTTGCTTGGCCTGCAGCTCCACTCTTGACAGTCTAGCTCACTGTCTTCTGGCTCTGGAGGCCAAGGTACGCCTCGATGATAGAGCATGCAGACCATGTCAGTGTAGGACATTTCAGGGCTGCAGACACCTGAGTTCTAGGATTGGCCTTTAGGGAGCCCCAGTGATGCAGCTTTAGACTTGTGTCCTCAGCTGCCCCTTGTGCTGCCTGGCAAGCTGAAACCTCTGTTGTAGCACTCCTTTCATCCTAGGTGCCTTTCTGCAGGGGTCTGCTTCTTCCTCGTATAGGACCTATCCCAGGATCCCTTGCTGCTTACTTCTTGTCTGTCTTCCTTTTTGGAGCGTAAACTTCTTGCCACATCCTGTTGGTCTCATTCACAAGATGCTGTGACTTCTAACAAAGTACAGGCCTGAGTAGTCCTAAGCAGAGGGTGTTTGATGGATGAATGTTTGTCATGGCAGCACCAGAGGGAGGTTCCAGTTTCTCCCTGGCAGCAGAGCCGAGGAGCTGTGCTCTCAGCGTTACCTGGCTCAGGAGTAGGAAGGCCATTGTTCTAATGCTCCCTGGACAGAAGCCATCTGTTGTATGGAGATACTCAAAAGATGCTTTCCTTTTCCATTAAGGTTGGATGGATATTCACGGACCTTGTCTCAGAAGATACCCGAAAGGGTACAGTCCGATACAGTCGGAATAAGGTGAGACGGAGACAGGAGTGACTTGGCCCGAAACCTCACTCAGGTAGTGCTGACTTGGACCTCCCAGTTTCTGCACAGCTGGCAGATAACTTTGCAGACAGTCTTCCTGGTTAAGACCCAGCCTGCTGAGTACGTCCAGCACAGCAGACCCCCCACTCATCTGCACTTGAAGCCAATGGGAGAGGGCTGCCGGTACCTTCTGCCCTGCTAGCTTGAGTGCTTTTAACATTCATCCCTAATGACTAGAAATTACAGGTATTTGTGATTTTTGAGGCATTGTAGCTTAGTTCTTTAAATTTTTTTTAAAGGCAAGAATCTCAGTCTGTACCCCTGGGTATCCTAGAACTCAATATATAAACCTAGTTGGCCTCAAACTCACAGAGCTCCACTTCCCTTTGCTTCCCAAGTGCTGGCTTTAAACGCTCTGCCTTGTTTTTTGTTTGTTTGTTTATGTTTTTTTAACTATTTATTGTGCATGTGTGTTCATATGTGCTATCTCACTCTCGTGGCGGTTGGAGCACAGCTTGTAGTTGTTTCTTGCCTTCCACTGTGGGCGCCTGGGAATTGAACTCAGGTCAGTCTTGGAGGCAAGCATCTTTACCTGCTGGGTCATCTGGCTGCCTAGCTGGTAATATTTCCTGCAGAAGAAATAGAAGCTTGTCCTGACACATGCTGTAATTTGATATGCTGCCTCTCTTGGCTTAGGACACCTATTTCCTGAGTTCAGAAGAATGCATCACTGCAGGAGACTTTCAAAACAAGCACCCCAACATTTGCCGGCTCTCTCCCGATGGTCATTTTGGATCCAAGTTTGTTACTGCAGTGGCCACAGGTATAAATGGGGCAGAGTAATGGCACAGATACTACTGCCCATTAATATGTTTGTTGTTCTTTGCAGCAGCTTTTCATCTTTAACTTTGTTATAATAAGCTTCTTCTTTATGTGTTTTCTTTGTGTGTTTGTTTTCGAGATAGGGTTCCCCTGTGTAGCCCTGGCCCCTGGAACTTGCTCTGTAGACCAGGCTGGCCTTGAACTCAAAGTGCTGCCTCCCAAGTGCTGGGATTAAAGGCATGTGCCACTACTGCCTGGCATAATAAGCTGCTGCTGCTGCTGCTTCTTTTTAATTTATTCACTTATTATTTATACACTGTATTATTTATACAGTGTATAAGAGGGTACCAGATCTCATTATAGATGGTTGATTGCTGGGAATTGAACTCAGGACCTCTGGAAGAACAGCCAGTGCTCTTAACCCTTGAGCCATCTCTCCAGCCCTCCTTAATAAGCTTCTTAATGAACTTTAGGAAACATAAATTCTTCCTTTTGTTTTACAGTAATTCTGAGTTTAGCATCACACAGGGGTCAGGGCTTCTTCACAGCTCTCCTCAGGTCTAGTGTTCTCATTGCAAGTCTGGGGTAACTCTTGCTTTTGGATATGTGCCCTTTTTCAACAACTAGAACTGACAGTGCAAGAAGAGAGACTTCCTGTTTTCATGAGTGGAGCTCTCATTCTAAAAAAGATTCCGTGAAGTTCTTTTGGGAGTGATATGCATTAGATAATACATGTCATATTTTATAAATATATAGTAGGTTGTGGCCGATGTGAACATGCACTAGATCTTTTGTTACATCCCTAAGATGAGAAGATCAGGCATGGGACCCTAGAATTGAAAAGCTTAGGGATTTGGAAATTGCAAAATCAGATTGGAAGCATGTGATCCACATAGCTAGGTTTTACCGTAAGTTCAGGGTCTGGCTCTGGATGTCTCATCTCTCCACAGAGACAGCAGTCCTCTTGTCTAGATGATGCTCTGTGTGGCTCTTTGTTTTTGTTTTTTTAAGACAGGGTTTTTCTGTGTTTCCTTGGCCATCCTGGAACTTGTTCTGTAGACCAGGCTAGCCTCGAACCCAGAGGTTGACGTACCTCTGCTTCCCGAGTACTGTGATTAAAGGTGTGCATAATCACTGCCCAGCTTTCCCGTTTTCAGAATTCCCCTACCAGTTCACATGTAGTCTGTATTGAGGGTCCTAGTTCAGACTTCCTTCTGGTTCTTAGAGTGCCCCTTCCAGTTCACCCTGCCTCCCTGTAGGAAAGTGGATGAGCACTCTGCTGCCATCAGGTCTCTGTCTCAGGAGACTCAGGACTGTTAAGTCTTCCTAAATGCTAACAAGTTTGCCTTTCCTAAGGGAGTTATGGCCTGTTCAGATTGACAAATAGGTCACCTTTTTTTTTTTCTTTTGAGTGAACATTGTTTGAGGAGGAAGAGATACTGGTGGCATCTTTGTTCTGTTATGCTGATAATAATTGCACATACAGATTTATAACATTTCTCAAAATTGTTGCTGGGTTGAGTGCTGAAGGGCATGAGTGGAGGTGTTGTCCACGATTAAGGCCCCAGAGAGTCATCTCCTGCTGGCAGCTTGAGTACTGCATAGTAGCAGATGTTAGGCTACTGTGTGGTCAGGATACACATAAGGTTGGACCACAGACCTGACAGAACCTCTATTTTGATTGTTAGGGTGGAGGCCTCCTGAAAAGCTTCATGCTTTTTCTTGCTCAAACCAAGCTGTTGCTTCCTTCCTAATTTTGTGGTCTTAGAGACCTCAGATTATAGTCATGTATGTATGTTTTCATGGTGGTTTATAAAGTAACGTTGATTCTAATCTTGGGTCGTAATAGAAAAGAGGGTTTGCCTACATGAATGTGTTAGGGGTTGGGGATATGAGACAGTTCTTAATCTGGCAGGGTTCCCAGCATCTTCAACATACCATAAAAGCTGGTAGTGTCCCTCACTGAAACAGCCAGAAGCACCTCAGACACTTCCAGAACTGTCACCGTTGCTGAGAATGGCTGTTTTGGGCTACTGTGGGCTCCCATAGTAATCCAACCTTTTTAATTACTGTTTCTATGGGGAAAGTGTCCCATGGGCCAAGAGAACTGGCACCTTGTTTACAATGAGGTGTGTAGTTAGCTTGCTTTTGTCTGAGTCTGAATCCTCCTGTTTGGTGCCTGGTCTCATCAGCTTCCTCCCCAGAAGGAGGAGTGGCTTTTACAGTGTTGCAGCTGGGATACTGGTCTCCAAGTAAAGTATCCTCTCTCTCCAACATGTCAGGTCTTTCAGCCAAGGGCAAGTGAGGATCCTGTAGAGGTGTTAGCAAATGCAGTTGCCGCAGTCCCACCTCCCATGTTGGAGAGGAAGGTTTGAGCCTGCATGCTTAAGATAACATCCTAGGAGGTGGTGCTGGTTGTGCTGGGCTGGCCCCTCTGTGGGCTGAGCTCGGGCCTTCTGGATAGCCAGGCCAGCCCCTGCCTTTGCCTGCAGGTTGTCCTACCCCCTGTGCTTTTCCACAGCTTTTCTGGCTTAGCTGTGGATAGTGGTTTGCTCCAGGGATTGCCATCCCACATGTGGTATGTGCTTGGCTCCAGTACTGTAGCAGTGCTCTCTGAAGACCTCGGGCTCAAGGCAGCTCAGTTCTTTGTGTCATTGTCACTCTCCAGTGTGTGCTCCATTTTGTGTTTGGGCTCCCCAGCAGGTGCTTTGTACAGGGAATGAAGGTTACCTTGCCCAGACTCCTCAACAGCTCAGTCTTTGTGAGGTTTCCTGAAAGATAAGTGAACCGTGTATGTGTGTGTGCGCGTGCGTGTGCTCACTTGGGAAAGGGATTGTGTGGAGCTCAAGGTAACTTCCGAGACTACCTGTGTGGAACAGTATTACTCCCTGCTTCTTTGTGATGTTGAAGATTGAGCTCAGGGCCTCAGAGCTTGCTGGATCTACTGAGCTATTTTTCTATACCCTTTTTTCACAGGGTGTGGGGTGTAGGATCTCATGTTGTCCAGGCCAGCCTTAAACTCCCCACCCTCTGTTTTCCACCCTACTAGGACTGGAATTAGAATGCATTATTACCATGTCTGGGGTCTGATGCTTTTTTTTAATTTAAACAATCTTGCATTTATAGATACTATTCACTATTCTTTTCTCTAAGTTTTTATTTCCCTAATGACCTGTCATACTCAAGTAAATGGTAAGTGCTTGTGCACATGTGGCTTTCTCGCATCGTTGCAATTTTGGTCTCCGCCAGTGAGCTCCGTCAGGTGTGGTGTCTGTGGGTACTGTCAGGTACCTGCACAGCTCCACCTGTGTGCGGATGGGGTGTGATGGTGTCTGCATTAGGACCAGGGAGAGAGCGAGGTTCTGAACAGGGCGCCGGAAACTGGTTTCTCTGAGCACTTTGCCACCAGCTGCAGTCGGCCTTCTACGTGGGAGGATAGTCACTTAGGGCCAACTTTGTCTGGTCTTCCACTTTCTGATCATGTTTCTCTGGACTGGATCAGATAGGTATTTGAAAAGAAATGCACTGAATCTCTTTATCCTGGTTTGTAACTTTTTCAAACTGAAATAGAGATAGGTGCAGAGCTACAAAAGGGCAGTGAACATTGGATTTGCCCTTATGTAGCTTTGGTTCTCGGATTAGACCTATGTATCTACGCTTGTCACATCCTTACCCTCCTGATTTCAGGGTCCCGTGTAACTGGCTGGGTGGCTCTCTCTGAAGTAGTCATTTAAAGTATCTTTGTCCTTAATTTAATGTTTTCTTTTTTAAAAGTCGCATGTTATTGTAAACTACAATGTCACAAATATGCAATTTTGTTACATTTGTATTTATTTTGTGTGTGTACCTTTGTGTCTGTGGGCAGGTATGACAGCATGTGTGGTATGGAGTGCATGCAGAGGTCGGAGGACAACTTGCAGGAGTCATTTCTTTTTTTCTGTCACATGAATTGTAGGGATCAAACTCAGGCAAGCAATAGGTGCCTTTACTCACTGACCTGTCTCTCCAGCTCCCTGAATGTGAGGTTTTTGTGGGTGGCGCTCGTAAAGAGACACATACTACAGGGCAGTGTGTGTGTCTGTGTGGGGGCTGTAAGGAGACTCTTGGGGCGCCTATTACTGTAGGTCTGGCTGTGTCCAGGTGCTCACCTTCTGCGGTGCTGGGGCACTGGCTTCACCCAGCCACATAGATTTCTGTAATCTGGAAAGAGATGTGTGTATGATCTGTGTGTTAAGATGAGTTTCTTTTTTCTGTTGTTCAGAGAGTGGAGGGAGATGCAGAGAGCACCATGGTGCACGTGTGGAAGTCCTTTCTCGCTCTTTTCCTGTGCTTTATAGGTCTCACACTCAACCCAGTCTTCAGACTTGTGTGGCTATTGGGAATCCTAAGCTGGCCTTGAGCTTGCTATGTAGCAGAGGATGACCTTTAACTTCTGATTCTCCTGCCTCTCCCAAGGGCTAGGATTACAGACATTGACTGCCATGCTCAGTGTATGTTGGAGATTGCATCTAGGGCTTCATTGTGCTACATGAGAACCGTGTGGCCGAGCCCCATATAGCTTCTGTCCTGCTACCCCACACCTGTACTTCCATCCTCTCTGCCTCCAAAGGAATGCATTGTTCCTGACCCTTTTGCTCAGGTGCTGAAGCTGGTGGCATTCAGGACAGTGTCAGTCCTTACACTTTTGTGTTCCTAACAGTCTGTGTGCGTTTAACAGCACTAACTCAGCTCTGATGATGGGGTAGAGCAGTGGACTCTGACAGCCTGTCAAGTGTGCCCAGTGGCTGTGAGGGGTGAGCAGTGTCCAAAGTGTCCTCCTCCAGCCACCCTCTAGGTTACACAGCAGGTTCCTGATTCTTGGGTTCCTCCTATTGGGTGGAGGATAGGTGTTGTGGAATGCTTGTGACTCCCTTTGGGTAGACTCTCTTAAGAAGTTTTCTCTTACAGGTGGTCCAGACAACCAGGTTCATTTTGAAGGTTACCAGGTATCCAATCAGTGCATGGCCCTGGTCCGAGATGAATGTCTCCTGCCTTGTAAGGATGCCCCTGAGCTCGGCTATGCCAAGGAGTCCAGCAGTGAGCAGTATGTTCCTGACGTGTTCTATAAGGTAAAAACACAGCAGAACAAAAATGTTAAGTGCATGTGACTCTCTCAGACTTTTGTGATCTTGTGAGTGTTAAGTTTGTGTCAGTCATTGTGTTTTATTGCCCAGCTTGTGAATCAGGGCATCTACCACATTCTGAAGCTTATTTTTAGTTACTTTGGTTTGGGTGGCATTCTGGGGTGCAGCCAGAAGAGGAACCTTGCATGTTGGGTTTGGGTATATTACACCAACTCTGACCATTGCAGCCTACATTTCCTTTGTGAAGATGGACTATTTGGACCTTTGTTAGAATTGAGCCTGCCACAGCTACTCATTTCTTTTGTTGTGAGGCTTCCAAGAAAAAGAAAAATAACAGTGAGCAGGAAATATTATCAAATCAGACAGAGGCTTAACAACACCCAGCAGAAACTGAACAAGGAAGCCCTCTTAATGCATTTGCTGGAGTCCCCATCAGAAGCCCTGGGCAGAACCTCGAGTGAGGCTTCCAAGTAAAAGAACAAATAGCCACAGACAGAGATGACGTCAGCTCAGTGTTTACAGCGTCAGTAGAAACAAACAGGAGAGTAATGGCAGAGCTTTCTCTGCACAGCTGAACTTGCGGCTCTTCTTGCCCTCTGTGCCTTTGTACCATGGGGTGAATGAATATCAGTGGTCTCCGGAAGTGCTTGACCTAGCTCTTAAGGTTTTCACCCTTGGGCTGTTTTGCTGTTTCCTTTTCCCTGTCTCAGAGTTGAGAGCAACAGTCCCCAGACAAAAGAGCATTAGAAAACTCTTTGAGAGAATATGCTTGGATCTGAAATGGGGTGGGGCAACCCTACTTCCATAGCCAGGTTCTCAGTGTGCTCAGTTTCACACGACAGTTTACCAACCCACTGTGTAGTATAGCTTGACAGAATAGGCTGTTACCGCTCAGATGTCCTCACCTGCTACCCTGTTGATCACCTGTCATTTTTGGAGCTGTTTGACTGACCTTTCTCTTAAGATTGGTTTTACTCATGGTTACATTAGGTTCCTTGTGTGCAGTCTTCCTGTTGCCTGATTTCTCTCTTGGATCACTCATGGTGTGTCCTGTTCTGCCTTTTTTATTTGTTTTAGATCTCTATATATGAATTTTACTTTGTTTGTTTGTTTGTTTGTTTGTTTGGAGGGGGAGGGGAAAGGTCTCACAGTATAGCTTGTCAGTGTGTAGACGGGCCACCCTCAGACTTACAGAGCTACGGTTACCTGGCCTGAGTGCTGGAATTAAAGGTGCTCACCACACACCCAGCACTGTTTATGTTTTGTTTGTCTGAATGTCCGTGTACCACATGTGTGCAGTGCCCATGGAGGCCAGAATAAGACGTCAGATCCCCTGAACTGGAGTTACAGGTGGTTGTGAGCCACCATGTGGGGACTTGGAACTGAATCCAGGTCCTCTGCAAAGAGTAACAAGTGCTTTTATATATGTATATTTAGATGCATTATATATGTACATATATTTTTTATGTATATGAGTGCTCTATCTGTATGCACACCTGTACGCCAGAAGAAGACATCAGATCCCAGTACAGATGGATGTGAGCCACCATGTGGGTGCTGGGAATTGAACTCAGGACCTCTGGAAGAGCAGCCAGTGCTCTTAACCGCTGAGCCATCTTTTCTGTGGTTTGCTTTATCTTTATTTATCGTCTAAGAATGAGGTTTCCTTATTTTGTCTCATGGGTATGGATGTTTGCGTGTGTGATTTCCTCCATCTGAGCCTAATTCCCATGGAGGCAATAGGGTTAGGGCCCTAGAGCCCTGTGTATATGATTGTATTGCCTTCATGTGTGTGTACACTACATGTGTGTACTGCGTGCAGAGTCCAGAATTCTGAGAGCGTGGTGTTAGATAGAGGTGGTTGTGACCTATCATGTCGGTGCTGGGCACAAACCCATTCTCTGCAAGAGTGCAGGTGCTCCCAGCGGCTGAGCTGAGCCTCCATCACTACCCCCTCGTGTGTGTGTGTGTGCGTGTGCGTGCGTGCACACGCTTGCATATGAGAGTGTGTGTGTGTGCGTGCGCGTGCACACGCTTGCATATGAGAGTGTGTGTGTGTGTGCGTGTGCGTGCACACGCTTGCATATGAGAGTGTGTGTGCGTGTGCGTGTGCGTGCACACGCTTGCATATGAGAGTGTGTGTGTGTGTGTGTGTGCATGCACACGCTTGCATATGAGAGTGTGTGTGTGTGCGTGCACACGCTTGCATATGAGAGTGTGTGTGTGTGTGCGTGCACACGCTTGCATATGAGAGTGTGTGTGCGTGTGCATGCACACGCTTGCATATGAGAGTGTGTGTGTGTGCCTGTGTGTGGTTTTGTTTCTCCAGGGGTCCTTACATCTCAACACAGTGGCACAGTTGTGATCTAGGGAAAATATTTTGTGGTCTGTTAAGTCAGGTTGTAGTTTTTGTTCCTCAGTTTCAGTGCAGGTAGCAAATGTACTGCCAGAACCAGAGCCTGAGCTCCACATTCCAGGACGCAAATCAGATCTGCATGTGCCTGAGCAGTATGAGCTTGCTGGGTTGATGTGGGACCCAGGCTGGCCATCCGTGAGCCTGAGCTCTAGGTATGATGGAGGTGCCCTCCACTATTCCCTTGGCTCTCCTCTCTGCTCAGTTATGGGTTACTCAGTTACTGCAACCTCTCATTTCTCATGCCCTAGGAATAAGGACAGTGCCTATGGCTCGTGCAGAATCCAACCTGGCAAGCCCGAGAAGCACCTTCTGTTGCCTCTGGTAGGCATTCTGTAGATGGGGCTCTTCTGTCCCACAAGAGCCTGTGCTCTGAGTGCTTCCCCAGTCGGTGCTGCTGGTGGCCTGTCCCACCATTCGTTAATGGAGCAGCAGCTTGCTAGGGTTCGCTCACGCTCTGCAGCAGGGTGGTGCCAGCTGGTCAGTGGCAAGACACAAAGCCTGTGTTGCCTTGGGGGGTAAAAGAGACATGAGTGTCTGTGTTTCTTCTCATGTCAAGACGCCAATGCTTCCAGATGTGGCCTGCAGTAGGCAGGAGGTGCCGGGAACCATGACTTCTCACTCTCCTTTGTCCTGCTCCAGGTGTAGATAAAATTGCTGACACTTTGGCAGCTGTCAAACTTAGAATTAAGATGTCTTCCTTCTAGTATATTCTGTCTGACATTTGCTAAAGCCCATAAAAAATAATTGCCTTTAAAGTGGTGTGTAGGGCTAGGGATTGGCTGGCTAAAGCACCTGAGTGAAGGCACAGGGGAGAAGTTACTTGGTTTTCCCCTAGGGAAAAATGGGGCTTACAACACCTTTATTTTTGTGGTGAGCAGAAAAGGTACAATTGGGTAGTTAAATCTGAACGAGAATAGCATAGCACAAAGGAAGGGTGGGGTTTTTAACAAGAAAATCCCCTAGAGGGGAAGATGAAAGTGAACAGGTGCTGGAAAAATGTTTCTGCATATTAGAGCTTAATTAGATTGGAAGATGGATTCCAGATGGGCTAATTACGCGTGTGAGTTGTTGCAGGTTGTTTCTTGTAGGGCAAGCATGTATTTTTGGAAATGGTGATATAGTTTGATTGAGTTTGATTCCTGCCTCCTACCCTGACTCCATCCAGAAAATGTCTTCTTCAGAGGCCCAAGATCACCCTCAGTCAGCTCCCAAGTTTTTGACCGCTATCAGACATAGCAGAAGCAAAGAACATGGAGGCCCTCCCTACCTTGTGATCACGCGTGTAGGGAAGAATGAGTGGCTCTTCCCCGGGTCACAGGGAGGTCACCACCCTCACTGGAGCAGCCAGGACCTGGACGATATTGCAGGAGCTTGATTATCTCCTTGTTTGACCTGGGGATGGAATCAAACCCACAGTTCTCTCACGGGTGCTGCATAAGTAGATAGAGGTCCCTTGTGTACACTTGGGCCAGCTTAATTTGCGAACAGGGTACAGTGATTGTCTCAAAAGACAGCCTGGTTCTCTGCAGTTCCTGAAGGGTGTGGATGTGCGGGAGTGGCCTTATGGCACACCTTGGGAGCATATGGTTGGCAAACAGTTTGGGTCTAAGGGTATCTATAAGCAAAGTTTTATGTAAGGACCTATCATTAGAAATTATGGACACATGATTTATATACAGCTCAGTGAATGACTCCTAATGTTAAGTGATGATTTACATAGAAAATATGACTCCTCTTATAGGCTCTTCTAATAAAAAGCATCAGTTCTTAGGAATCTATTTCTAGATTTTATGATTAATGAACATATGTTGGCCATTTTCCCCTATAATTAAACAAACCGGTTTTAGACTTTGACATACTGGTGGTATGTGTGTGTATGGTGTGATTGTGTCTGTGTTGTGTGATTGTGTTTGTATGTGATTGTGTGTGTGTGTGTGTGTACACCTTTTGTACATGTCTTTATTTTGTGGATATATTAAGTTATGAAAAAGTCTGCTTTTGAGAGGTGTAAGGTTTTTTTAAGAGTAAGACCCCAGGGACTGGAGGAAACTTGAGGCTGTTTTCAGCTCTCCGGCATCCACGGTGCCGGGTTATGGTAGGTGGGAGCTTACTGTGCTCCCACTTCAGAAGGCCCCAGGGGCTGACAGCACGGGCTCCTCTCCCGGTCACGGCTGTGACACAGAGTTCTAGGAAGCAGTACACGGAAATAGTTGCCTTCCGCTTTTCTTTCATGGACTTCAACAAAATCATCATTTTTTTTTTTTTTTTTTTTTTTTCTTTAAGACAGGTCTCTATATAGTCCTGGAACTCATTTATGTAGACTAGGCTGGCCTTGAACTCACAGAGATCCTCTTACCTTGCCTCCCAAGTGCTGCAATAAGGCATGTGCCACTGTGGCACCTAAAATTCCAGCCCTGGCAAGACAGAGTCAGGACTGCCACAAGTTCAGGGCCAATCTGGTCCACATAGAAAGTTCCATCCAGGTCAGCCTTAAATGCTGTTTCACAAAAGTAGCAAAAAATAAAATAATAACAGTGATTGAAAAGTTGGACTACTACTGTGAAAAGAATACTGTCAGTGTTAACCTTCCCTCACCTGACGCTGACCTTTGATTGATTGTTTCAGGACGTAGACAAGTTTGGCAATGAGATCACCCAGCTGGCCCGTCCCCTGCCTGTGGAGTATCTGATCATAGACGTGAGTACTCCTGCGCGTTCAAGCTCACAGGCGGCTACCATCGGCCTCTGAAGGCCAGGACTCTGGGCTGGTTGCCACTTGAGCAAGGAAGCCAGGGAGATTTGAGTCTTGGTGATCAATTCCCATGGTTTTAAAAACCTCACAGTTTAAACAACCTAGGGATTAACTTTCCTCTTGCTAAAGTACAAACAAGGACACCAGCCTCCATCCAGCTCCAGCCTGTGGCCTCTGCAAGGGTCTACATCCCAAGGGGATGTGAACAGTTCTGTGTATCTGGACTTGGCTGGTAGCCATCCACTGCTCAGAAGGTGCAGATGCCACTGTGTGCGGCACAGAGTAGCACTCCCAGGGACCATTCCATCAAGACTTCCCTGAGGACGACACCTCTGTAACTTGGTATTTGTGAGTAGTGTGGGCCAGTGTTGTTCCTGGGAGTGCCTCCAGGAGGCAAGAGGAGCTGGCTCTGCTGCATCTTAGAATCTGTTCCCTTCTGCGGAAGGCGATGGTCACAGAAACACAGTCATGCCATGGCCACAGGGCAGTGAGCGCAGTAGGACAAAAAGCCTGACGACTTCACAGCAGCTGGAGTGTCATTGCCTGCCAGTGCTCTCTGTTCGAAGGGTTGGAGGCAGCTCATTTTCTACATTACTGCTGTGCCAGAATATCGTTCAGGCTGCATTTGGACTTGGGATGGTTATATGATTTGGGCAGTAAAATATCATTGCATTTGGAGCAGTTAGTCTCCCCTGAGCTTAGCCCATTGATGCTCCATTTCAATTGACAGCTCCTGAAAACATATTTATTACCTAGGCCATAAAGGCATCTGTTTTTATACTACCTGGGGTGTAATTAAGATGAAAGCAGATTGATGGAGTCGGCATGATTTAGAATGAGCTTCCTAAGCTCTTCCCTTCACCACCTAGCACATCCCCACACCTTTCAGCAGCCTGGGTTGCTGGGGGGCATTCAACCCTGTAGTGCCCATATTCTCTGTCGCCATGAAAATGAGGGCTGGAGAGCCTTAGAGCAGGTACCAGGACAGTGTTGTTCAACTCTTTCTCTGGTGCCAGAGATAGTACAGATCCGGACTAGAGCAGCCCGCCTGCACTCCCTGCCCCCTTAAAAGACAGGGTCGTGCTATATAGTCTTTACTGCCCTCAAACTTGTAAGCTGGCCTCTACCTCTTCAGGGCTCTCTGCTGGGTTGTTGTTGTTTTTATTTTATTTTATTTTGGGGGCTTTAGGTTGGTTTTTGAGACAGGGTTTCACTATGAGTCCCTGGCTGGCCTGGTACTCCCCAGGACGTGGAGGCCAGAGTGGCCTCAAATTTATAGAGATCTACCTGCTTCTGTCTCCTAAATTAAAGGCATAAGCTATCTCACCTAGCTTATCTGCTGTTCTGAAATTTGAGAGTGAGATAGCTTTAACACAACAAAGATTTTGCATGCTGCATCATCGCGCAAGTCCTGGCATGGCTGTTCCACATAGTTAAACTGTGACCCCAGGACAGTCTGAGCAGGGTTGACCTTAAGCACATGAAGAGGAACTGGATCCCTGGAGTGTCCCCTGGAACCACCGCAGACTTTGATTGTGTTGCTGTCCAGGGCCTCTTTGAATGTAACGAGTACCCTCACCCTCTGGAGCTTGGGTGCATAGCCTTGAACTTACGGAGTCACTCCCATCTCTTTCTGTTTGAGTGGTCATTATTTTGAGGTAGCCTCTTCCTTAGTTGCCCAGCAGCCCTTGAACTCAGGATGTCCTGCTTTGTCTTCTTGAGCAACTGGATTCTAGGTGTGTACTACACCCAGAACTCTGGATTACAGGAAAATGCTAGCAGATATTCTGCAGTCACCCTTCCACTTCTGTTTGTGCCTTTCTAAAAGCAGAGACTTGAGTATCCTAGGCTTTTGCTCACAGCTTGGCTGTACTCCCTTTGTGTAGTGTTCAGACGTAACTAGAGCTGTGTGTCAGTACTGTGCTCAGTGCCTTGTGTGGGAGCCATTCCCACCATCTGTCTCTTAGATAGTAACCTGCGGCCATGTGGCCAGTTGAGGGCTTACATCATATGCTCGGCCTCACTGCTGCAGATGCTTGTCTGTAAAGGACCAGTCATCTCTGATGCATCTGATGGTTCAGCTCATCCTTGGAGTGCTGACACTGGCACAGCTGAATCCAGAAATAGCCTGCTGCCTTTGCTGATGGAGAGAACAGATCACAGCGACCAGAACAACATTTTCATCCTTTTAGAAATAGTCCCACAGGAGTCAGAATAGCTCCTCTATATTTTGGAGGGTGTGGCCTGGTGGTGCTAATGGCATGCAAAGAGAGAAAAGCGTTAGTAACTTGCTCTTAGGTGTTTTTGTGGGGAAGGGGCCTCCACCAAAAGGGATAAAACCTGTGTCTGTATTGATTCCTGCACTTCCCCCAGCGACCCTGAGGCTTCTATTGGTTATGGGTTAGATTTAAAACGCCCTTGCCATTAACTAAAGCATGCTGGAGTCAAAGGAGAGATGTGTTTACCTGCGGTAGAAAGTCCTGACTTCGGTTCACTCTCCTTGGAGGAAGATAGCGCCATGGCTCTTAGCCCTGCCCGCCAAACTGTGGCTCTTGGGGATCGGCCTCTTGGAGACTCTTAGAAGTCAGGGTATTTCTCGGGTGCACACTGGATAACTCCACGCTTGCCTCCCAGCAGAGGGTTGAGAATTTTGTGTCTTCCATCTGCCTCTTGCCTTCGCTATTCCTTTCTGTGGTTTGCTGGTTGGACGAGGGCAGAGTGGCCGTGAACATCTGTAGAGAGTGAGTGCAATGGCACAAACTCTTCCAGTCAGGTGTCAGTGCAGCCACGGACCAGAGCATGGAGCTGCTCAGATGTGAGTGCTGTTGAGATAGGAACATTGTTGCTGAGAGGCGGTGGCACACACCCTGAGGCCCAGCACTGGGGAGGCAGAGGCAGCAGATCTCCTGAGTTCAAGGCCGGCCTGGTGTATAGGGCAAGTTTCAGGACAGCCACATGGAGAAACCCTGTCTTGAAAAACAAAGAACAAATAAGTGAAGCAAAAAGAGGCATGCCTTTTTTGGCTTGTTTCCCAGGGTCTGACTTTCATTTTTTGGCGATGACAGTTTGCTGCTGTCTTTAACACCGTACAGGCCTCTAGTGAACTGCTTGTATAGGCAGGAGTGCCATTCTGTTTCTGGCACACTGTCACAGTCTGTTTTTTTGTTTTTGTTGTTGTTGTTCTTTAGATCACAACCACCTTCCCCAAGGATCCAGTTTACACTTTTTCTATTTCACAAAATCCGTTTCCTATTGAGAACCGGGATGTACTGGGTGAGACACAGGTAAGCTCTTCGTCTTAGAGACAGACAGTCTTCTGTTTGTTTACCTAACACAGGTCTGATTTCCCCAGAAGCACCGTTTCCACACTCCCTTGTTCATTATCGGATCATTCCCACAAGGCCCTGTGGGTAATGTCAGTCATGTGGGTGCCTTTCTGCACCAAGCAGTAGATGGCGATGCTCAGATCCTCGAGCCCTCGGTCTGTAGGTTTGGCAGAAATCCATTCTCACCTGGCTTTTTGGTGTTTCCAGTAGTGTTTATCACCTTTGTTGTCTACCAAGCTATCTCTGGTTTGTGTGGTGTTAATGTCTCGTACAGAAGCGATGCGATGCTCTGGCTTCCTGTTGCTCTGCCCCACGTCTGCTGTCTGTTGGGCTTGTTAGGGTTCATCAGGCACTACCTGACCTCCATGTGTGATGATTGACTCTGTTGGGCATATGTCCTGTCCTGTCCCTTGTTTTTAACTGCAGAGCCAACCAGACCTGAGTTGCCATTACTACCTATTGTAGAGAGTCTGTCACCTTACTTGTTTTTAGGCTGTAGTTTAGTACCAACATTTCAGAATATGAGTTGGTTGAGGAATAGGTCTAATATTTACTACTGCTGTGGTTCCTGTCAGTATGTCTGTCCAGAGAGATCATATACTTATGGGTGCAAGACAGTGTCAGTTCTTTTGGCAGACCTTGTGAGATACCCATCGTGGTCCTCTTGGCATGTCTCTGGTTGTTTAAAAGCTGCCCTGCCAGGCGGTGGTGGTACATGCCCTTAATCCCAGCACTCAGGAGGCAGAGGTAGGTGGATTTCTGAATTTAAGGCCAGGCTGGTACATACAATAAGTAGCAAGACAGCCAACTTACTTATCTGACCAATGTCTTGGATCTGAGGCCGCTTAAATGTGTGCCTTCTTGCACACCTGGGTCAGGTGTGCTGAGGGCTTCCCCCAGGCAGGAGCGTCACCCTAGTCCTGTGCTCTCTGCACCTCTTCTGGAGTCTCTAGGTGCTCACTGAAGCAGGACAGTGTGTCTGTGTTCTTACTGTGTGTGTGTTTAGCAGGAGTCAGCACTTTCTTGGTGTGATGCTAGGGCTTTGTGATGACACACTGCTTTTTTTCCCTTTCCTTAGGACTTCCATAGTTTGGCCACCTACTTGTCCCAGAACACCTCATCAGTGTTCTTGGATATCATCTCCGACTTCCATCTCCTCCTGTTTTTGGTCACCAATGAAGTCATGCCACTGCAGGTACCAGCACTGCTGCCCCCTTGCTTCCTTTCCTCAGATCCCAAGAACTGGTGTGAAGCTTGGTGTCAAGAGATAGCTGCCCCGTGCCCAGGGTGTGAGAATGTGCAGTCACAGTACTTTACAAGGGACTTTACTGGTGGTGGAGATGGAGATCTTTCACTGTAGCCTTTGTGCCAAAGGCTAGTTTAGAAAGCAGAGGAGAATGAGCTGTGTCCTCTCTCTAGGCTGGAGCCCTTAGGGATCACACCATTCAGACGTCCTGTTGCACAGCCTCAAAGCTAACACCCTCTGTTTCCTGACACCCCTCACCTTATGAACAAGTACTGTTCATAGCCTGAACCCAGAAGGTTTTGCCAGCTTCCATTCCGGGTCCTGCATGCACTGTTGCACAGTTGGCTTTTTTAAGATAACGCCATAAGGAAGGGAATGTGACTGAATGTTTTGCAGATGGTTGATGTTCCCTGAACCAGCCAGGGCAGCAGTTCCCACCAGGAAGCCTGTGTAACTGTCCTCTTTTCCGTGCTTTGTGTACATACGTAATAGTATGCACACACTAGGTGTGGATGGCATGTTCACCACCCAGAACGACACTCTTCTCTGCTTGCAGTCAGCCTTCAGGGTCGACCCTGCCATCTGAGTACAGGTGACAGGAGGGTCTGTCTTCATCAGGACCGCCTTTCTCTCCATGACTACTTTTGCGATTGCCTAATAGAAAACACTTTGTGAGGTGCTGGTAGTCCTTGATGAACGTCACTGTGGAGAATTTCTCTGTGTGCTGACCCCCAAAGGCACGGTGGAGAAGAGAAGGAAAAAGGGAGGAGGGCAGGTCTTAACAGACTTGGGCTTCTGTCCAACTGCCTCTAGGCCCCCGGGATGTGGATTTCTGTTTTCTTTGTGTTAGCTAACTTTAGCAATGAAATGTGTAGATTTAATACCTCCTTTTCTCTCTCCTTACTGGGGATTAAACTTTGTGCTTTTCACATTAGGCAAGTACTCTGCCACTACACTGAATCCCCCGTTAGGTCTAATGCACCTTGCACTTTGCCATGACATTCTCTGAGAGTTTTTCCAGTTTTCTTTGAAAGATGTTATTGATGTTAAGGGAAAAAAGAGTCTTTTTCCGTCAGTCAGAGCAAAGCAGACCCTCCTTGTGGCTCCTTGTAGGACAGTATCAGCCTGCTGCTGGAAGCCGTGAGGACCAGAAATGAGGAACTAGCACAGACATGGAAAAAGTCTGAACAGTGGGCCACCATTGAGCAGCTGTGCAGTAAGTGTCCCTTCTTCCCTCTACCAAGGGCCAGAACATGAGCTCTGTTGTTGAGACCATGGACCTCTGACCTGAGTATCTCCTTGAAATGTTTACACAAAGGGACAAACATGATGGACTTCTTGGTTGGTCGCATATAATGGCTGCTGATGTGACCACATACGGTCCAGGCCATAAGCCTTAGGTCTGTAGAGTTGTGAGCTGTGTTACTGTGAGCACAGCAAGTGTCTCCATCCCTCATACTTTGATGATGTAACAGAACAATTCCCAGGACTATAGGTGGTAGGGTTAAGAGCTCATTAACAGCAACTCCTAAATGTACAGCGTCTGATTGTCCAATCACATGCACACGATTGGCAGTGCGAACTAAGTACTGTTTACAATACAACATCACAACAAGACAAATGGGCCAGGCGTGGTGGTGCACACCTTGATCCCAGCGCTTGAGAGGCAGGAGCAGGAGGATCTCGGAGTTGTACAGCTGGCTTGCTGTACAAAGTTCCAGGGCAGCCAAAGCTGCACAGAGACCCTATCTGGAAAAACAAAACAAGGCTTGGGAACAGCTTGACTGCATTAGGTAAGTTCTGTGCTGGCGCTGCCATGACACCAGGCAAGCTGATGAGCATAAAGTGTGCCGTTATCTGGCCTGAAAGTCTTGTCTTTAAGATGTCGTTTTACCATTGTTGATGAGTGAAGTTTCAAAAATACACAGACAACTTTTTTTTTTGTTTGAGACAGAGTTTGTAACTGCCTTTGATACTCTAGACCTTGTAGTGAAGACCAGGCTGGCCTCAGATTCACAGACATCTGCTTGCTTCTGCCTCCCGAGTTCCAAGGCTAAAGTCCTGTGCCACTGCCATGCTCAGCCACAGATGACTTTTTTAAAAAATGAAATTAAATTAACAGGTTTTAACATCTGTTTAGAAACACAGAGAACCTAGAAAAGCCAAGGCCTTGCAGAAGGCAAGCTTGAGCATCACGCCATCACACTCACAGCCGTCTTGCTGCAGTGATCCAGACCACATGGTGTGGATGTGAGGCTGATAACCTGACCAACTAGTTAGGAATGGCCGTGGGTTAGAGCAGCAGCTGGAAGAAGGATGGTTTCCAGAAGAGTGTGCTGAGATAGATGGGAAGCAGATCTGTGACCTTGGCTTACACTGTGCTGGGACGTGAAGACCAGCCTGGGAGAGGTCTGAGGTTCAATGAGACCTACATGTGTCCGGCTCTAACAAGCAAGTTCTAGGACAGAAATCTCAAAAATAAAACAAGAGGGAAGAAAAGGATGTACACCTGTGTCGGAAAGATACAGAGTACGCAAAAATTCTTTTGGACAGGATTCAGGACTTTGGGTTAGGGTACAGACACACACCGGTCACAAACCTGGTAAGTTGGCTAGTGGTAGCACACATCTTTAAATTGCAGCTCTCATGGGTGGACCTGAGCTACACAGTGAGCTCAGGGTTGGCTGGAGCTGGTGCTTGGTGGTGTAGTGGTGGCCCAGCAACAAAAGAGGACTGCTGCAGTCGGAAAATGGAGCACTTGTGTTGATTGAAGGGGGCTGTTTGGAGTTGAGAAAGGGCGAAATACAGTATTTGGAATGTGTATAGATGACGTGTAAGAAGTCTACACAGGCAAGAACTTAAATAAGGATTTAGCACATTTTGCAGAAGAAGAGGTAGGCGCATACTGTGATTCCTCTTCAAGGAAATGGCAGTGAAAATAGTGCCGCTGGGTGTTCAACAGGGTAGCTAAAGTGAAAACAAACACGACAGTAGCAAGCGTTGAGAACATGGGGTAGGGAGGACTCTATTTGGGGGTGGCTATGAGTTTCTTCGGAAACTGCGCTATAGATATTTGGACTCTTGATGTGGCAGTGTCACTGCTAGAACTTTACCAGGAGAAAGAAGATACGAGTCCATAAAGAGGTTATGTAAGGGTAAAATTACCCACCTGCCCACCGCAAGTGTGTGCTGTTCTCATAGGAATACCTAGCAACAAGGGAGCAAGCAAGTAGGGAGGTGTTTGCTGACTGGAGCCACAGCAGTTGGTGTGCCAGCAGTCTGGAGCCGCCCCCGCCCCTGCTGCGGGATTCTCAGGAGATAGCCTTCGTGTGCAGAAATGATGTGCTCTCACTTTACCCTGCAGGCACTGTTGGTGTGCAGCTCCCAGGCCTCCAGGAGTATGGTGCAGTCGGGGGCTCTGCACGTGCTGCTCCCTCTGGCATGTGGGCCTGTCAGCACTGCACCTTCATGAACCAGCCGGGCACGGGCCACTGCGAGATGTGCAGCCTCCCCAGGACCTAGGGCTCAGGCCCTCTGCTGCGTGGGAATGGGCCAGCCCAGCCCAGCCCAGCCCACTCTCAAGTCTGGAGCGCCATGTGTTCCCTGTAAGGCCTGACGCCCATGGCCCTGAAGCAGTAGGGCCAGCTACCCTGGTATCCGGATACACCGAAGCTTCTCAGTGCAGATCTTGAAGAGAACGAATCCCAGCTGCTGTGCTGGGGTTGAACAGAACCTCCCAACTGGAAAGGCAGTGCAGCCCTGCCCAAGGACACCCCACATGCCTCATCTAGTTACTAGCTCCCCGCCATATTGGAGGGACTGAGCGCCTCCAAATAATCACCTGAAATTGGGGTGTGCAGAGGTTGCAGCTGTCACCCAGCTTTCTTTCCTTCCTCTCTGCTTTTGGTTTTCTGCCTCCCCAGTTTTTAGATGGATGTTCCTGGCTGTCTCTGTTCCCTTGCTGTGGGCTGTGTCCCTCTGCTGGGAGCATGTGTGGCTGGGGTGTGGCTGCCTTGGTCTGACCTGCAGTGTAGTGCGCCCCTGCCCTTCACTTGCCTGAAATCCGCAGTTGTCAGTAGTTCCCACCCAGGAAATTTTTATTTATTGTTTTAAGGTAGGCCTGCACAGATGGGAGTGAGAGAGATTTAATCCTGCTTTCTTTCCTCCTTCAGTGCAGTCCCTGGTGGGTGTTCAGTGTGGTTATTGGGCAGGGGCTGCCATCAGTTGTTCCCTGAAGCAAACCTCAGTGCCTGAGACTTCCTGCCATGCCGCAGACAGTGGCAGTTGGTAGCGTGGGTGGTGGCAGAGCAGTAGTGGCTCCTGCCAGGCAGTCAGCCTCATCATGTCTGTGGGCCAGCCCTGGGGTTCTGGTCCCCTCTCCCAGCTCTGCTCCTTTACCTGAGGCGTCCCTACACTGTTGCCTTCTTGCACAGTGCTGTGGCAGCTGAGAAAGCCTAGCAAAGGTGCCCATGTGCCCATGGTGAGGCAAATAGAAACGGCCTGTGAGGGTCCCGTGGCTGTTCTGTGACAGCCTTTACCCAGGTAAGACATAGGTATCCTGATGCCTCTTTGCCTTAATGAGAGCTAAGTCAGCTAGCTGTACTTTACCCTGGGACAGGCCATGCCAACCATAGACTGCTGGGGGCCATGTGTGTCTCTCTAGCAAAGTGCACCCATGCTTCCTTCCGCATCTTTGGCCCTGGGGACAAACCACTTGTTTGCTAGGGTTTCATGTGGCAGGACTAGGGTCAGCATCTCTGGTTTCACCTGGCCTGGGATCTGAGCCCCACTGGGCTTGGTTTGGTACTGACAGGGTCATCTTGGAGGGTCAGGAGTGGTAGAGAGCAGGCGAGCAGTCTCTGCAGCCACTTGCCAGCAGCATGCAGACAAAGTGCTGAGGGCTGCCTAACCTCCCTCCTGGTAGTTTCCCTGGCTAGGACTTCACATTTCTGTCTTTCCTGGTTTCTGTGATCTGATAGACTGGATGTCCTGGCGTTGCTGTGTCCATCACTTGGCTGTGTTTCCAGTGCCAATCATACAAGCACCGTTATTCATGCTGGGCAGGTGCCGGGCAGCACAAGCTCTGGAGACCTTTAGGCCACTACTTACTCGCCCACTCATCTTTGTCTACAGAGTTAATTATTTTTTTTCTCATATTCTGGTGTCCACGTAATTCTTGTTTTCTCTGTCTTTTAGCTAAAGAAATTGTTGTGATTTCTCTGCTCGTGGTTTTGAGTTACTCTTTGTTCAGTAATGCACTTTATTTTATTGTCCAAAGAGAGTCAAGCTAATGCTACCAGCTCGGGGTGAGCCCTGCGGAAGGGCAGCTCTGCTACCTCCTACATGGAGGTGGCCCTGTCCCACCTCTAATCCTACTTGCCATCAGGCACTACAGCCCAGAAAGCGGTGCCTGTGGGCCTACCTACCCAAGTAAACCCAGTGGCTGCCATGGTCCTCTTCAGGCTCAGAGCTGGGGTCCAGCCCTGGCCTCGCTCCTGGGACGTGGGTGCTCCCGCTTCGGCTCTGCTTTGGGCTCATAGGTGTGCACTGGCTGGGTGTGGACTAGTGTTCCCGTGACCCTGCCCTGCAGTGGAACCTAATAAAAGCACCTGAAGCGAATGTCCTGCTCCCCGTGCATTGTTCCTGTGATGAAAGCATCCTCCACAGCCCGAGTCCTGTGCGGTGTGTGTTAAGTGTTGCCTTGTAAGGCGTGGGGGCAGTCCTGAGTCCTGGGAGCTGCTATGCAGAAGACAGGCTGAGGATGCTTCCAGCCCTGGAGGAGATGCAGGTGCTGGGGATGAGGACTTAGCCCCCATGTGTTTCCAACCAAGGGGTCTTCAGAGTAGCCTGGGACAGGGTTCAGAGATCTGTTCCAAAAGCCACTCAGGGTTGGTGCAATAGGTCCAGGCTTCACCCTTGGGTTAAAGCTGTGGTTTGTTTTTCTGTTAATTTTCTTAATTTTTGGTTTTAATTTACAGATGGGCATAGTGGTGCACGCCTTTAATCCAAGCCTTCTGGAGCCAAAGGCAGCCCAGAACTACACAGAGACTCTAAAATACTAGTATTGGAAGGAGTCATTTTGAGACAGGTTTTGTGTGTTTGTGTGTGTGTGTGTGTAGACCAGGCTGGCCCTGGACTCCCAGAGATCCACCTATCTCTGCTTCCTGAGGGCTGGGATTAAAGGTGTGTGCTGCCATTACCGTCAAGCTTTTATCATTGTTTCTGTGTGCATGAATAGTGAAGTTAGGAAAGGGTGTGAAAGGGTGTGAAAGTCCTGGAGCTATTGAGGTTTGTGAGCTGCCCTGTGTTGAGGCTGGCAATCAAACTTGGGTCTTCTGCAAGAATAGTATGTGCTCTGAAGTGCCGAACATCTGTCCAGACCCAGGATGCTGTTTGATAGCTCCGCTGTGCTACACTATGCTCCAAGCCCACTGGACATTTTGTACCTGTTGTGCCCCGAGGCACCTTTACTTGTAGATTGCCACTGGGTTTTCAGGTGAGCTTTCTTTTAAGGGACAAGGTTGCCTGGGCTGGCCCCAAACTCAAGCATTCCTGCCTCTGCCTCCCGAGTGGCTGCCACTGCACAGGCACAGCCATTAGTGTCCAGTTTGGGGGGTGTGTTCTGCAAGAGTAGAGAGTACTTGATCTTGCACTTAGGGCTTCATCCTGAGTAGAATTCTCATCTCAGCCTGCTCTCAAAGAGCAGCAAGTAGAGCTGTTACGGGAGAAAGTGGAGTTTCCCTGAGACTTTGTTCACTAGGGCTCTCAGCGCCCTGTGCTCCAATGCCAAATCCCGTTTACATCCCCGACACGTTCATGCGTGGGGAACTGCTCTGCTGGCCGGCTTTCTCCTGATCAAGGGACTGCACTGTGCTGAGCCACCCTACTCCAAAGAGCCCGTGCTGTACTGGAGATAGCCTCTCACGCGCTAACACAAAACCCTACACTAGAACAGCGTCTGGTCACCAGGTAGGTGCTCAGAGGCGAGGACACTGGCCGGGGCTTGCTGCGTGTCGCTGGGACCGGAGGTTCCTGGCTGAGCTCAGTGTCTGCGCGTCCCCGCCCTGTGGCGGGCTCCGGCCACGCCCCCGCAGCGCAGCGGCCGCTTTACGGCTGAGGCCGCGCGGCGCGGCGAGCGGCCGTAAAGCCCGGAGGCGGCGCCGCCCCTCTAGGCTGAGCGCTGGCCGGGCGCCCGCAGCATGGCGGGCGCTTCCTCGGGCGTGCACTACCTGTCCGACTTCTGCTGCCCGCCCGGAGGCCGAGCGGCGGGGAAGCCGCACGTGCTGCGCCATGAGGCGGAGGTCTTTCTGTCCACCGGGCGCGAGTTCGTCTACGTGTACGACCAGGAGGGCGGGCTGCTGACGGTGAGCGGCGGGCGGGCGGGCGGCGCCGTTCCGAGGTTTGCCGGGGCCGCGCGTGCCCTCGCCTGACCTCGCTCTCCCGGCGCCCAGGCGGTGTACCAGTTTCCCGACCAGGTGTGGCACCTGCAGCTCCTGGCCCTCCGCAGGGCGCTCTACGTCCTGTGTGCCCGGACTGGCATCTACTGCCTGTCGCTGGACTCGCCGCGCAGGTGAGGGGGCGTGGCCCCGCGCGCCCCGCCGGTCCGCGTGTCGGGTCCCCGGGGCCTGTCCGTCGGGACCTGCTTTCATTCCCCCCTTTGAGCAGGGCGCCGTATCGCCCCTGTAGAATTCCGTAGTGACCGGTCACTGACATCATGCTGGGGTAAGAGGCAGGGGACAGCAGTGTAGGCCATCTGTGCCTAGTTGGAACCTCTTGCCTCCATGCAGGTGTGAGCGAGCGTAGTGTCTGCTTCCATGAAAGTCTTAGCTGTTGAGGCCTCAGGTAGTGAAGTCTGCAGCCAGGAGTGCCATTGCCCTCAGGTGCCTGGAAAGACCTGGTAGAAGTGGGTCTCAGGAGGTGGTGTCTCCTGTTTAGTGGTGCCAGCCAAAGCTTGTTGGCCGTTGTCTTGTGCTGGAACACTCTCCACAGCCCAGAGACAGCCTTGGGACGCCTCTCCAGGCTCGTGGAGCTGTGTTTCTGGCTGGCCTGTGTGTCGAGTAGTGTATGTGGCCTGCCGAAAGTCCTGTGGATTCCATGGGAACTCTGGCGAGTGCTCCCTGGGATGTCGCCTGCCTAGAGCGAGTCAGGTTCTTGTTGAACAGGAGTCTACCTGATGCAGCACTGACTACTACTTCATTGTCCCAGAAGGTCTGCGAGCCAGGCCTGTGAGGACACGGAGGATGAGGCTCACCCTTGCCCTGTGATCCACGTGGACCCAGACGCCTGTGTCCTCCCTGACGCTGCACTCTGTGCCTTCGCCGTGCTGGATGATGTGCTGGTTGCCCTGGTCCAGGGCCCCACCCAGTGGAAGATGCAGCTGTTTGAGCGGCCCTATCCAGGGGAGGAGCCTCAGCCAGGAGGCCAGATTGGTGAGGTGGAGTTGTCCACCAGCACCCCTCCAGGTGGGGTGCCCGGGAAGCCTGCAGCCCCCCGCTTCCTGCCAGTGCTGTGCTGCGTGTTCCCCCCAGGCTCCAGGGCACCTCATGGCCATCCCCAGGGCTGTGGGTGCCTCGTGCTGGAGGAGGCCCTCTTTGGGCTGCTCTTTGGAGTCGATGCCACCCTCTTGCAGTCCCCTGTGGTCCTCTGCGGTCTCCCTGATGGCCAGCTCTGCTGTGTGGTCCTGAAGGCCTTGGTTACTTCTGGGTCAGCCCCTGGTGACCCAAAGGTTCTGGTCAAGATCCTCCACCACCTGGAGGAGCCGGTGGTCTTCATTGGGGCTTTGAGGGCAGAGCCATACCCTGAGGAAGCAGCAGCAGACTTACCACCTGGTGAGAATGAGCATTCTGACTGCATGGTGGCCCTCGGCCACCAGGGCCGGACACTGGCCATCAAGGCCAGCTGGAGTGAGTCAGGGAACCTGGTACCAGAGCTGCGTGAGTACTGCCTGCCAGGGCCTGTGCTCTGTGCGGCCTGTGGCCGGGATGGCCACATGTACCACAGCACCCCTTCAAACCTCTGTGTGGTAGACTTGACTCGGAGAGACATTCCTTGGAACATTGAGAAGCCGGATGGGGCCGCAGGAGGTCTGCCCTCCGTGCTCTGCCCAACCAGCTTGAACATCTGCAGCGTCGTCACTCTCTGCGTGTCAGGAGCGCCTACAGGTACGAGCTGCTGTTAGATGTGGCAGAGCCTCGGGCTGAGCCCCTCCTCAGTGGTGTTCTCCCTAAGCTTTCCTTTCTCCTTGCCTTTTCTTTGCTGAAACTTTTGCTAAGCCAGCAGGCTTTTCTGAACAGGCCCCTCACAGACAATGGTCCACTCGCTTCTGTCTTGGGGTCCATGATCCTCTGTGCGTGTCTTCCTCGGGATTGGGTAAAGGGTGCTGCTCTGCCTGGGTGTGCCCGGTCCCTCAGTTGAGTGCCACAGGCATGTGGCTTGTGGGTTGCTGTAAGAGCATCTCTCGTGGCAGTTCTCAAATCAGGTCAGGCCAGGTCTCCACATGTCCTGCTTGTGCTGTGTGGCCTGCTTATGAGCCATTCAGAGGGTGTCTTGGGCTCTCCAAGGAAGCTTTAACCGGGTTTGCCTGACTAACACAAGAGGAAGACATCTCCTTCCCCCCACCTCCCCCCAGTGTCTTTCCATAAAGATCCACTAAGAGTTTGTTAAATCCTGCTGCAGAAAACACTTAACAGGAGAAAAAACTAATGCAGTGACGGAAAGAGACGGACTACCACGGGGCTGGGGCAGGGGTGGGCGTAGCCTAGGGGACCTGCGGACTGACTCTCAGCTGCTGAACTGCCCACTTTAGGGTTCATGGTAAGAGCTGTGTCAGGAGTGGGGAAACAAGCAGACCCTTGGCAGGGCAGGGCATGAGGATGTGGTGGAGAAGCTGGGCTTCCTGAGATGTTGCCTGGTGAGGTAGTGGTGAGCAGAGCTCAGCCTCCAGGACACTTCTCTTCAGAAGGCTCAGCAGCATGGCTCTGTGTAGCCTGTTGAAGGTTGAAACATGTTTGAATGTTTGAGCACCATACAGTGTCTTCATTTATCCCCTCTTCGACCTGTCTGTGTGGACCACTTGCCACCATGGCGTCACAGCTGTGCTGACATCATGCTGTGTAGGCAGTTCACAATGTGTTTAGAGATCAGTGGTTGCCATCTCTATTCAGCCCTGGTCTCCCTCATTCCCTTCCTTGGTTCTCTACCAACCTTTTTCTGAAGCCCTGAGCAAACTCCACTCTGTCTGGCATCTGCTGACTGACCCTGCGTGTGTCACTCACCAGGTAACACCGAGCTCCTGGCCCTGTCCTCTAAAGGGCGTCTGATTACCTGTAGCCTGGATTTGAATTCTGAGGTGCCTATGCCTGCCAAAATGACCATGGCAAATGCAGGCCAGAAAATTAAGGAGCTGCTCCTGGACATCGGTGATGTCTCTGAGAGGTGAGCGCAGGCTCTGGCTCAAGTAGAGCTTGTGCCCTGTCCTTGGGGGGCAGCCTCATGGGTGGAGCTGAGCCAGGCTAGGGGGTTTTGGGGTAACGACCATCTGTGTGGCTGGCTCTGCCTCTGTCACCATCAGGGGCCAAAGAATCTGCCCACAAGCCCTCAGAAGACAAGAGACCCCTTTCTTCTCAGTCCCGCACCTGCCCTCTGGACAGGACCCAGGAGCCTTCCGGCACCACTCCCTCGCCTGCTCCTTAGAGGCTGAGGAGACTCTCAGCAGAGCTGCCAGCACCAGACTCCCCCTTGGCTGCCGTCACTGCTAGCCCTCTTGCTCGTGACTGCAGGCTTGCTGGCCTGGTGACTCGAGTTTAATCCCGCAAGCCCTACCACCTGTCGTCACTGTGGAGTGTTACAAAAAGGAAAGGGGACGAGTGGGAATGTGGGGTGGCCCATGGGTTAGCTTAGCCCTACCAGGCATAGGCCAGGTCGGTGCCTCTGTCCTGTCCTGCCTTCTGGAGCCAAGAACAAAGATCAGGTCAGGGCTTCCCAGGTGGGACAGGGAAAGATGTGCCCCTCGGGCCTGCGAGCTGCTTGCAGCCTTCCTCAGAGTTTGAGCTTGAACCAGGGTCCGGTGCCTTCCCCGAGGGAGTCCATAGACACGGCTCCCTCTGCTATGATCTGATCTTCTGGCCGTCATGACTGCTTTGCAGGGTGTCCTTTCTGAAGAAAGCTGTTGACCAACGCAACAAGGCCATAACAAGTCTCAACGAAGCCATGAATGTGAGCTGTGCACTGCTGTCCAGCCAGGAGGGTGGCCGGCCCATCTCTTGTACCATCACTTTGTCCTGGAGCCGCCTGGAGTTACGAGACATGCTGATGGCCACCTGCACGCTGGAGAACAGCAGCAGCTTCTGCCTGGACCAGGGCTGGACCTTGTGTATTCAGGTGCTCACTAGTTCGTCTGCCTTAGACTTGGACGGGGCAGGCTCCACATTCACCTACACCATTCCCGTGGACAGACTTGGCCCAGGCAGTCGGCGGGAAGTGACGTTGCCCCTGGGCCCCAGCGAGAGTGGCACGCTTGACCTGCCAGTGACCATGTCCTGCTGGCTCTTCTACAGCCTCAGAGAGGTGGTGGGTGGGGCCCTGGCCCCCTCCGACCCTTTAGAGGACCCCTGTCTGGAGAGCCTCCCTCTCAACCTTCCCAAGCAGGAGGGTGTCTGTCTGCCCCTGTGCAAGCGCACCGTGGACATGCTGCAGTGTCTGCGGTTCCCTGCGCTGGCCTCACGCCCCACGCAGGCCCCCTGTGTGCCTGGCCCTGCCTGTGACCCTGTGGAAACTTTCCTGAAGACCTGCCAAGGCCCTGGCAGTGAGCCGACCGGCGCTGCCTCCCTACGGGCCAAGTACCTGCCTCCATCCACGGCGTCCATCAGGGTGTCAGCAGCGCTGCTCAGAGCCGCCCTGGAAGACAGTCGCTCAGGTTGGTGCCACTACTGGCTTCACTTTGGCCTCGGCTCTGCAGCCTGTGGAAGTGGGGTGTCCTTTCCCTCCCTGGCTTCTGGGAGGCCCACTGCATCCTGGCCGCTGTGGACTCTTGCGTTGTGTTGCCCTGCTGGTGTGTTTCTTAAAAACTGAGGAGGCACTAGCTAAGCAGAGGAGGATGTCACCAGAGAGCAGCTTGGTCAGTTCTCACACCGAGCAACTGGCGTCTCCAGAGCGCTGCTATAGTGCCAGGCCTGGCTTCTGCTTCCACTGGGTGCACAGCCATTCGTACTGTTTAGGGCTGGATCTGTGGCAGAATTGTTCTGCTCCCAGTGGACGTTGGCTTGCCTGTCTGGTTCCAGTGTGTTCCGAGGGGGGCAGCAACCGTCTTGCACGGGACAGTATGTGTGCACAGAGTGCCGTTTGCCTCATGGGCCTCCCCGAGTCCTGGGTCCGTGATTTCCTGATAACCCCTCTATCTCCCTCCCTGCCTGTGGCAAGGCTTGGGCGTCTGGGATGCTTAGACAGCACTGGAAAGGGAACGTTTGGCGGTGGCCACACAGTTACCTCTCCCCCAGGTTTCCACCTGTGCAGTGCTACCCTGCGGTGGCTCCTTGCCGAGAATGCTGCTGTGGACGCCGTGAGGGCCCAGGCACTGTCTTCCATCCAGGGAGTAGCCCCAGATGGTACTGATGTCAACCTCATCGTCCGCGAGGCAAGCAGAGGCCACTTGTCTGTTCCTGGGGAGATAGACCTTAGGACCCATGATGCTCAGTGGGACCGGGGCCATTGCTCCTAAAAAGAATTACTTTAACTAGCCTGTCTGCCGCATCTGTCTCACCAAGACTGTGTCCCTGGGAGGACCAGCCCTGTCCAGCTCTGTCCATTATGGGTTCCTCTTCCCTCTGCGCACCGCTAGGGTCATGTGGACAATAAATGCAGTGGCTGTCTCAAGCCAGTAACAGCCTGCTGGACAGTCTACTTCCTGCCCTTTCCCTCTCATACAGCCAGGGTCCCCTGCACCTTCCTGTCAGACACTCTTGGAGACTAGCGTGGTCTGCCCAGAACTGTGGGCCTCCCAGCGCTCCTTCAGGTTCCTTAGCCCTTTCAAGCCGGGCTGGGGCCAGCTTCCAAGCCAGAGTGTTCTGGGCCAAGACTAGGCCTGGCAGTGGTTGTGGTCAGTGGACTAGCCTGCGCTTGTAGCCATGTGGAGAAACCATTGGTTGCCAGGACCGTTCTCCAGTTCCAGGCTCTGGGTCTCGTGCTGCCATGGGAAAAGCAAGCCGTGGCTGCTCTGCAGGCTGTGCTCAGCACAGTAAGGCCCTGCTGGAGGCAGATGTCCACAGACAAGCTTCTCAGCTCCCTGTTAGGTCCTCACTCTGCTCCTGGCTTGGAGCCAGGTGTAGCTGGGGACTTGGTGTGGGTCCGAATGGGGTGCGTCCTACGGCAGTGGGTTTTGGTGTGGCTGACCTGCAGACATGTTTTTACATGTCTTTCTAGCCTGCCCACCTTTAAAATGTAAAGTACAGGCCACGGTTGCAGCTACTCAGAGCCCCCTGTGTTGCAGGTAGCTGTGACTGATTTGAGCCCTGCAGGGCCCATCCAGGCTGTGGAGATCCAAGTGGAGAGCTCCTCTCTGGCCAACATGTGCAGGGTACACCACGCCATCATCAGACGGATGAAGGTACCATAGCCAGTGGGGCCGGGGGTGGGGTGGGATGGGGTGGGGTGGCGAGGGCACAGCCAGCGGGGGTGGGCATGGACACAGCCAGCAGGGGCCAGGGGCACAGCCAGCAGGGGTGTGTGTGAGGGGGGTCATGGACACACCCCAGCAGGACCAGGGCCGGGGTCGTGGAGGGAGGCTCTGAAAGCAGGAAGCAGCTATCTAGGTTTCCTCTGTGGACCCACACAGCTGTGGGCAACGTGGTGCATTGCTACCACCAAAAAGGTACATGTATGAGCCCTCTGAGCAAACAAGACACTCCCCTGCAGGTCCTGTCAGCCCCTGTGCCACCCACAAGTTGAGAACTGTCTTGAGTCTGTCTGTTAACTTCCCGGTCATTCCCTGTCCTGTCTGGGCCTGAGCTGTGCTGTGAGCAGGAGGACAGCACCTCAGCACTGTGCTTCCTGCCTGCTCACGTCCACAGCCCCAAGTGGGGGCTCCCAGGCCCCGAGAGGCCCGCTGGGTGTGCCAGCCACCGGAAGTTCTGCAGGTGGTGCTTGGCTGTCACCCTCCACCAACCTCCCCTTGGAACTTGTTCCTGTGCGCTCTGGTGCTGCTTCCCCTAAGACTTGGCTCCACCTGTCGGCTGACAGGTTGAGCCGACAGGTTAGAGCTAAGCATGGAGGGCCAGGTGGAGGTGCTAGTTGCTCTCAGAGCTGTGAAATCAGCCCTGATGCTTTCCTAACATGTGATGCGCAGGGGCCTTGTCCCAAGCCACTTGGAAAGTGAGTGTATAAGTGACAAGCCGTAACGCAGCTGTGGCTTCAGGTGTTCAGGAGTTCAGTCCCCACTTCGGGCTAGCAGGGCAGTCTCTAAAGCAGTGCTGCCGTGAGCCAGGAACTACGCGCAGGGCCAGCCAGCCTCCGAGGGCTTTTGTCACCTTTTGCCCAAGTTCACCGTTGTAGGGACACAGTCACATAGGATTAAGGGCACCTTGTGACTGTCTCTTGCTTCAAAGAGCACATTTCAAGAAAACTACATTCAGAGGAGCTGGGATTAGGGGTTCATGTGTGACTTCAAGCGGACACAGCCGACTCTTGACAGAATTACATGGTGCGACTGTCCCCTAGGCAGCATTCAGGGCAGCTGCAGCCACACACCTCCATGTCCAAGGACAGGAACCTGTCCACGGCCACTTGGGCCTTGAAGGATGTTAGCCTCCCCGTAGGCAACTCTCCAAGATAATGGCTGGATATTTGCTCCAGGCAAGTCTACCCCAGGAGGCTTTGCTCATATCTGAAAAGGCCAGAGCCTCACCTTTGAGGCAGCCATAACATTTTGCAAGTTAGAATGCCTTCAGAAAGCAAGAATGATGCCCAGCAGTGAACGAGCCTGCAGAGGGAATGAGCAAAATGGATCAGATGGGGTCCTGCGTGGCTCAGAGTTTGTGAGCCACAGAAGGGAGATTTGGGTTTAGGTTAAAAAGGCATTTTAAGCCATTTCAGTATTTGGGAGGCAGAGACAGGTGGGTCTCTGAGTTTGTGGCCAGCATGGTCTACAGTGAGAGCTACACAGAGAAACCCTGTCTCAAAAACAAACAAAGAGGCTCTTTGATCAGGCCTAGTGGTACACATTCCAGAATCCCAGAGGTTGGTAGGTTGTGGCAGGAGGATCAGTTCAAGGCCAGCCCAAGCTACATGGCAGGCAGCTAACTTAAACTCCAGAAGCGTGATTACTGTCAGGTGGGAGAAGCCTATCTGAGGAGGAGCGTGAGCGGGGTGGAACAGGTGGTGAATGAGTGGGCTTCGGGAGCCAGGGTCTAGGGAGGCAGATGAGAATTGTCACTGTGCTCTGGGGGCACCCGCTTTGCACAGCGGGGAAGCACACTCCAGTTACCCACATGCTCCTGTGTCCCCAGACGATGGTCACAGAGCAAGCAGCCAGAGGCTCCAGCCCACCCGACCTGCGCGTGCAGTACCTGCACCAGATCCATGCCAACCACCAGGTGAGCCCAAGTGCCAGAGTGAGGCGTTGAGGCGTGGCCCCATGGGGCACGAGGGTGCCCAGTTTCAGTGTGGGCTAGGGTCTGTGCATGGGACCAAGATGGAAAGTGTCGTGTCCATATCCTGTTTGTGGACCCATGTGGCCGCATGTCACACACCTGAGGCCGCGGGGCCCAGTGTTCTCTTGGGACCCACTATCTCCCAAGTGTGAGATGTCTCCAGGCGGGGGCTCGGGCTGAGCTGTGCCGCCTGCCCACAGGGACTGCTTCGTGAAGTGCAGACACTGCGCGACCAGTTGTGCACGGAGGATGAAGTGCGCTCTTGCTCCACAGCTCAGAAGCTCTTGCAGATTTACAAGCAGCTGCGAAACCCTAGCCTTGTCCTGTTGTGACCAGGTAGGCCCTGGTCCTCCACCCCCCTTCCCCCGTGTGCTGACCTCTATGGCGTTATGCCCTGGGTTCCCTGGCCAGTCGGTCAGGAAGACTGAGGAGGTGTGGGTGGGTGGGTGGAGTGTGAGGTAGAGTCAGGCCTGTGGGAACCCACCAGCTTCCTCCCTGACAGCTGCTGGCCAGCTCCGGTCGCTGCGGGACACACTTCAGGCTGAGCATCGGTGCTTGCCTAGCAACGCCCTTCACCGGAACCTCTGCAGCCTCGTGAGAAGTAGCTCAGCTCCGCCCAAGTACTCAGGCCGTGGAGACAAAGGGTTTCTGGGGTTCGGACCTCCGGGTGTGGGACTGTTCTGCTGACCCTGGCACACCCAGGAGCACTGGCTGCCGCCCTGGAGCCACCAGGTGGCAGAGTGCTCAGTCAACCAAAGCACAAAGACCATGAGAGGGCGCCCGGAGGCGCCAGTGGCCGGGTGGCCCCAGCGTGGTGCTGCTCTCACTCGGGAGGGCGCGTCTGCAGAGCTTTGAGAGCTCCGGTTTTGTTCTGTGAGGTGCTGTGCTGACAGTCGGCCCTTTTCATCAAGTCCAGGTGTCAGCTGATGTGTGCTCGCATCTGCCTGGCCTCTTCTGCGCCCTGTGGCGCCCTGTGCCCTTTGGCAGGTAGCCTTCCCAGCTTCCCTGCCCCCGACAAAAGGGTATTCCTCACAGTGCCCCAGACCTTCCACCAGGCTCCTCTGGCCATCTGGGGCCAAAAGGTCTGCACAGACTGAGGCCGCCCCCACCCTCACCTCCCCGGGGGCTGATGGGGGGTTTGTCCATCCTACAGGACAGTTCTTCATAGAGGCAGTGGGGAGGGGGCCAGACCCGCTCCGGGCTCCACCTGGAGTCTGCACAAGAGCCGCTTCTTGTTCTTGGTGCTCATGCCCAGTTGCCTGCTTACCTTGGGCCCCGGTGGCCTGAGAGCCCCGTCCAGAGCTTGCCCCCGGCTGCTCTGGCCACCTCCCTCGTATAGTGTGCATGCCTGTGTGTGAACAGGCTGGAGGGGCTCCGGCTGCGCTGGCTTGTGTCAGAGACTGAAGGCTCGCCTTTAGCCTGAACTCTCCGTCTCAGGAGCCTGGGCACATGTCCACAGCCCTGCTGAGGCTACCCTAGCTCAGCTCTGCTGGGCACCGCACACAGGCGTGCACCTGGGCTTCGTCTTGTTTTCCTTTACATCTGGCAGAGTTAGTGGGGCCCGCAGCGGGCTTAGATGGCTGCCAAAGCTGAAGAAATGCTGGTCTTAGCTGGGGAGTCTCCCAAAACAGCATGGAGTAAGAACCAGCAGTGTCCCAGCTGGGACCCCCAGCTTGTCCACCTGTGTGACCCCCTGCACATGCCAGACACCAGGATGATGCAGGCCGTGAACTACCTGGCTTCACAGACTAGATTCTGAGATGTCCCACTCATGATGGCTGCTAAGGTCAGCTCCAAGAGTTAACAGGGACATCCCCTGACGGGCGACCTGAGAGTGAGGGTAGCATCCACCCGTGACCTTCCCAGTGTGCTCCTGCCTCCCCTACCCTCTGTACCTGGCCTCCCCAACACGCTCTGGCGGAGTGGCTTGAGGCTGAGGCATCTCTGGGGGTCTCACTCGCTCGGGACGGTAGACACTGCAAAGGACTTCAGCCTGCCAGCCAAGGCTAGGAGCCTTCCTCAGGCTCTGACCCAAGCCTAGCAGCTGGTGGGGTGAGGGGCAGACGGCTGCCTCCAGCCAGCCATGGCCCTTTCACAGAATGGCCTTCCGGGGTGGTGGATCTAGCGGTGAGCAGAGAGGACTCAGGAGCATGCACGCCGGACGGTGCAGGCCCACAGCAGCCGAGCAACGAAGGTTTAATGGGTCCTCAGTATTCCCAGAGCGCTTCCCCCAGCGGCAGGTCTGAGTCCGCGCGCAGCAGCCCCGAGGCGCCGCCGCGCAGGTACTTGCCGCTGAGGGCACGGATGGCCAGGCGGCCGCGCTCTCGGAACTCGAAGAGGAAGTCCTCCGCCAGGTCGCCGTCGCTGCACACGCTTCCATGGCTCCCGGTGTACCAGAAGCCACCTCCGCGGCCTGGGGGCAAGGCTGGAGGTCAGCCGTGCCCGCGCCCACGCCCACGCCCCCGGGGCTCCCTGCGCTTTGCCGGGCCCACCTCTGATCTGGTAGGCGCCGTCCCTGAAGCTCAGGTGGAAGACGTCGTAGGTGGAGCGGTTGGTGTCCAGCTGGTTGGAGCCGCGGCGGTGGCACACGAAGCCATCCAGGCCCCGCAGCACCAGGATGGGTCTGTTGATGAGCTTGAGGGTGAACAACTCGTCTCCACCTGCAGAAGGAGGCGCGTGGACTGCTCCTGCCCTACCGTCCTCTGCAGGCCTGGAGCCGGGTCCGGGCCGGCCACCGCCTAGCGGGCTGCTGTGGTGAGGAGCCTAACCCCGCGGAACCCAGGCGTTCCTACTGCGCAAGGTGTTCAGGGAGTGCCTGGGCTTCCCCAGAGACACTAAAGGAAAAGGCACCCTGGGGTCCGACCCACAGAAGGCAGGGGAGGCTCACCCACAAAGTCACTGATGGCGGCCAGCTGCCCGTTTTTCTTCATGCACACGTAACGTCCATTGCTGGCTTTCAGCGCCACCCGCCGGCCGTGCCATTCCATCTCAAACATGGTGTTGGCAGAGCTGTAGGGTGGGAGGCACACAGGGGCTCAGAGAGAGGTGCAGTCTGCGCCCCCTGCCTCCTCAGGGGTACCCATCCCCTCGGGGGCTGCGCCACACTCCGTGACTGGGCTGAGGTGCTGTGCACACAGGAGCTATTGGAGGTGAAGAGAGAAGTGATAGTGGCCCCGGGTGTGGCTGCACACGCTTTTCGTCCCAGCAGGGGCATATCTCTGGGTGGGAGGCCAGCTTGGTCCAGGCCATGCAAGGCTACGTGAGCCCTGCCTCAAAAAAAAAAAAAAAAAAAAAAAAAAAAAACAGAAGCGAACCCGAGAGGGCGGCGGTGGGGATGAGAGAGAGGGAGACTCGGGCAGGCGCACTCACACTTGGGTAGCTGTGGCCTGAATGCCCCCGTGAGTGACCAAGGTCCAGTAGCCTCCAGTGCTGGAGTAGAAAGTACACCTCTTTGTTTCCTGGTCTATTTGCATCAGGAAGGTTTCGTGGTCCAGTTCCTCATCCTGATTGGCTGAGACATTGATTCCTAAGGGAGAACACAGCGAAGCTCCTCACACCTCTCCTGGGAGGGAAGGGGAAGAAGCATGCTTTGGAGTCTCGGCAGAGCCATCTGGCAGAGGCTGCCCCGGCCATCCAGGTGGCAGTGTGCCCCACACGTGGCCTCTAAGGGTGGGTTCTTAACCCAGCTCTGGCCACACTCCCTGAGACAGGACCTTTCACGAGGGCGAATCCCTGTTCGGCTAATCAGGATTAAAGTAATCCGCTTGTTCCTGCTCTGCACCCAGGATTTACAACAGCTTCTATTTATAACTCAGCCTGAAGCTGCCAGGCGGGGTCTCCGACCTTCTGCCTGAGGTGACCTAGATCCTGGGAACCAGCCTACCTCCCACACAGGGAGTCCTCGGGGAGAGCCTGCCTGATGTTCTTGTAACGTGGACACGCAGGACAACTAGACCAAGGCGTCAGTGTCCATGGCAACTGGTTACTCGTGAACAGTGAGGCAGGTGGAGCCCTAGGGAGGGTGGGGAGACCGCTGGAAGGCCACACCTGATCCAGCCCTGCAAGGGGAGAGGGAGCAGCCAAACAGCAGCCCCTGGTGGAGAAGCTGGAATCCGCTGCCTTCCTCCAGCTCGCGAAGGGTGTACCCGGCCTCCCTCACACGCACCTTCCTGCAGAAGAGCAGCCGGCGCATCCCGAGGGAAGGGCACAACAGTTTGAGGGGTTTGTTTTTTCTCTTTTCTGTAGTCCTGGCTGTTCTGGAATCAGTATGTAGACCAGGCTGGCCTGGAGCTCACAGAGATCCGCCTGCCTCTGCACTGGGATTACAGGCGAGCGCCATGCCCAGCCCGGTTTGATTTTTTGAAGTTGATCTGTTTCTTGTGTGTATGAGTGCTTGTCTGTGTGAAAGTGCCACTTGTATGCAGGGCACTCAGAAGCCAGAAGAGGAAGTCAGATCCCCCGGCACCAGAGTTACAGGTGGTTGGGAGCCACCATGTGGGTGCTGGGAATTGAACCTGGGTCTTCTGGAAGAGCAGCCAGCACACTTAATTATTATTATTTTTTTAACTGTTCCCACCTGTGCCAGCTTCATCACTGAATTGGGTGGCTGGGACCAAGGGCAGCCCTCAACCTCATGTAGGTCCTGGGCCTCATGGTCAGGCAACAGTGGGATTCTGGGTAGTGTGTCTCCTGTGGATTTGGATGCTGTACAAGAATGGCGGCATTTCAGCAAAGGTTCCTGCAGGGACAGAGGGCAGGAGCAGGTGAGAGGATCTTCGCTGGCATGCCGACTAGTGCCATCCACTGACTTCAGCTGCATCTCCTGCAGGCTGAGACGCCGTGTTCCGCTTCAGCACATCTGCCTCTGCAGCGCCCCACACACTTCCTGTCTCTAACTCAACCTGCTTCTAAGGAACATGGCTGAGAGTGGGAGGGCCATGGAGGCCAGAGCATCCTGGTCAGTGAGGTGTGCGTGCTGGGCTCAGGGAAGGAAGGGCTCGTCACAGCACAGCTGCATGTCAGCCCTGCGGTGCCAGTGAAGGCAGAGACAGGCTGGGGTGGGCACAGAGGGGCAGCAAAAAAGCCCAGTGGTGACAGCTGGAGAGATGGCTGGGTGGTTAAGAGCACTGTCTGCTCTTCCAAAGGACCCAGGTTCAAGTCCCAGCAACCACATGACAACCCAAATTTCAAGGGATCTGACACTAATACACATAAAATTTAAATTTAAAAATCCAGTGGTCAAAGTGCAAAGTGGTTGCTCATAGGCAGCTCCTGGCTAGGAGACGAATCTGGGCTGCTTCTCCATAGCGTCTGCTCCAGCTGGCCTAGGACGCATAGACTGAGATTGCCTCTGCAGCCACCTGGAACTTAGTGTCACTTCTGACGTGGGGCCAGCGAGCAGTGTGCATGGAGAGCCTGCCCAGAGCAAGTGAGGTCCTGGTGTGTCCAAACCCCAAAAATCTTGTCTTGAGACCGACCAGGAGCAGGACTGCCCCCCCACCCCCACCCCGGTCTTCGAGTCTCAGTGCATGCAGCCTTCCACACCCACCTCTGCCGCCCTTGAGTTGGCCACAGCCCTGCGGCCAGGTTGAATGGCCCCTCTCCCTAGGAGGTTGTGACCAGCAAGCACCTGGAATTCCTCTCTACGCAATAAGGCATTCCCTGCGCCCTGGCCCCAGCCAATGATGCACACTTGCTCCAAAGCCTCTACCCACTCCCCAAAGGTTTAAATAGCCTTTGTCACCAATTAAACTCACTGACTCCCTCAAGAAGACTGTTTCTTGTGTGCTGACCACCGACCAAGATCCTGCACACACCCACCCTGGCTAAGCCTCACCACCTCCAGCCCAACCCAGTGAGACTGGGTACCCAGAGGGGGAAACAAATGAAGCAGCATTCCACCCCACCAACGCACAACCCCTGTGGCCCCAGTGCTTGGGGAGGCAGAGGCAGACAGATCGCTGTGAGTTTGAGGCCAGCCAGGTCTACAAAGCAAGTCCAGAACCCCAAGGCTACACAGAGAAACCCTGTCTCAAAAACAAAACAAAAAAGCTGGGTGTGGTGGCACACGCCTGTGATCCAAGCACTCTGGGAGGCAGAGGCAGGTGGAGCTCTGTGAATTCGAGGCCAGCCTACAAAGAGAGCCCAGGACAGTCACAGCTACACCCTGTCTCAAAAAAACTTACTAAATAAAGACTGAAAGGCCAGTTGAATGTCTCAGCAAATTAAGTGCTTGCTGTGAAAAGGAAAAAACTGGCTCCACAAAGTTGCCCTTTGACCTCTGTGAGTGTGTTATGGCATACATGTCCCGTATCACACATACACAGTAGTAATTTTTGTCAAGACAGGGCCTCACTATGTAGCTCTGGCCTTCCTGGTATTCATTGCGGCTGGCCTCTGCCTTGCAAGGGCTGGGATCAGAGGTGTGCTCCACTGCACCTGGCTAATGTCAATATCTTTTAAAACAGTGGGAAGTGGTCCGCATATGATATGGCAGGGTTTGAGAGCACTTACCCTTCTTGCAGAGGACCTGAGTTTTGTTTCCAGTACCCTTGCCAGGTGGCTGTAATCACCAAGAACTGGAGCTCCAGGAACCAGCGCCCTCTTCTGGCTTCTCCACCGTCCTACACTCACATGCATACCCCCTCCTTCATACATAGACATATTTTTGTTTTTTGAGACAGGGTTTCTCTGTGTAGCCCTGACTGTTCTGGACTCACTCTGTAGACCAGGCTGGCCTCAAACTCCCAGAGATCCACCTGCTTCTGCCTTTCTGCCTCCCGTGTGTTGGGATTACAGGCGGGTGCCACTGCAGCCAGCTGTTCATATATTTTTAATGCTGAGAAGTAATCCACACAGCCGCTACACTACCCAGCGCCATGACTGCCCTGTCCACTCTCTTTCTTCAGGGCTAGGGGTGGGACTCAGGGTGCTGTATGCACTAGGCAAGCCTCACCACTGAGTTCCCTCAGCCACACATCCCACACAATCTCCACCAACCCCCCGGCCACCACCACCTCCTCACCCGTCATCACCTCTCCATCACTGTCTACAGCCCTTCATCCCTCCTCCATCTTCACAGCTTCTTCGCTTTCACTCCTCCACCATATCATTGCATTCCTGCCAACCCCACGGCGGGGCCGGCAGGATTACACTACTGTTACCGCCTTCCTTATGGTCTCTCTCACGCTGTTTGTTAGTCAGGGTCCAGCACCACCCCACTCCAGGAAGCACTCAGACACCCTGTTCCAGCCAGCTTGCTTGACTAAGGACTGTGAACAGCTGGGCCTTCCTCAAGCCAGGTAGTGTGATGGGAACGAGGGCCACGTGCTGGGAACAGCAGCGCCCGTGACTGCTCCAGACTGACCTGACAGCCATGCCTGCAGACGCAGTACCCCTGGAAAGTCTGGCCTCCCAGATGGGTGCTCCTGAACATCTGGATTGGACATGAGATGCCCAGGGAGACCAGACAGCTCACACCTCACACACACATCCTATAGCAGTGGGCAGCAGCGTGGCAGGCAGCTGGCATGGAAGGGGTCTGGGTGAGTCAGGAGGAACACTGCCTCGGCTCTACATCTGAGCTCCAAGCACTCAGCTCAGGGCGCCCAGGCCCTCACGTGCAGGGCCCAGAGCCAAGGTAGAAGCAATTGCTCCTCCTGGCCTGGACCCGGGTTATGTGAGCAGTTGAGGGCCACTCACACTCCTGGCTTCTTCACGGGGCAGGAGGCCCACTGTGTTTACCTCAGACTGCTCAGGTGTCACACAAGTGACCAGCAGCCAGGAAACGAAGAAAGCCAAGCCACACCTCACGGCAGAAATGGCACCTTCCCCGTAGATGCACAGGCCCTGGGCAAGGTCGCCTTCACTTGTATTTGCCACTGAGGATAACAGTGAGGCCTCTTGTTCTTGGGGACCCACAAAGTTGCCACTGCTCAAGCATACAGAAATGGTATCCCTGCTTTAACCTCGTCCCTCCCTTATCTCCCTCAAAGACCAGGAAGTGGAGTGGCACAGCAGCAAGGGAGGAGCCCTCCTGCCACCCCCCACTGCCCTCACATCACACCTCTGAGTCTCGCAGACAGCCACACTTGAGCAGGCACCACATTCAGCTGATGTCTCCAGATGGTGAGAATAACGAGGCCTCTGAAGCCATCAGCCCTCAGGAGGCTCACAGGCTTACACTGTGTGCAGAAACACCCATGCCCATGGCCAAGCACCCACCCTGCACACGTGGCCGGTGTCTGCACACACAGCACACCCCACCCCGCCCTACCTTGCCGCACAGAGACATAACGGCGGTTGGCTGCTACCAGCACCACCTGCGGGTGGCTTTGCTCCAGGTCAAAGAGTTCATCCTTGCCGGGCCTCGTATTGCGGCCAGCCCTGAGTGTGCCGGCAGGCCCCACGGGTGCCAGGTAGCGGCCATCACAGTCCTTGAAGGCCAGCTTGCCTGCCTTGAACTCCAGTGTGTAGCAGGCATGGGCTTCGGGCTCCCAGACCAGGCGGCCGTCACTGCGAAGGTATCGGCTGTCGTAAGACTTGAGGCAGTACCGCCTGCTCTGGAAAATGAGGGTGAGCAGTGCATCCACGCCCCAGGGCATGTCACCGTCTGCTGCCATCGTGTCCTCCTGCAGGCACAGGTGCACGTAGCGCCGGCGGCTCACGCTCAGCAAGTGAGCCTGCGGGTGGATGGCCAGATGCACCGTCCACAGCTCCGCCGGGGACACGGCTGTCGCAAAGCAGGACAGCTGGTCCTCGCTGCCACCAAAGAAGCGGCCGTGTGGCTCCGACTGCAGCGCCCAGCGCCCATCAGGCTGCGGCAGGACCAGGAAGCGGCAGTCTCGGCCGGGCTGGTCTGCCTCACAAGCCACGCGCCCATCTTCTTCTGCCGACAGGTAGCGGCCTAGGTGGCTGCTGCGGAACAGCACAGCAGTGCCCTGTCCGGGGTCAGGCTCCAGCACCCATATCTGCTTCCTCTTGAGGCTGGATGCCGAAGCGTTGACCTTGAAGCCGAAGCTCTCTGCTGTCAGGTAGCGGTTGGCATCATTGACAAGGCCAAACTGGATCTTCAGCACCTGGTGCAGGCCGTTGGTTGGCATCTTTGAGGCTAGCCACGGTGCTTCAGGGGCCTGGGAAGCTCTCTCTCTGACTGCTCAGGGGCCCTGTAGGGCCCCCAGAGGCCCAGATCTGTCTATCTCGCCCTTGGCTCCCAAGCCCAGCCAGCGACATGGACGCTACCTGCTCCAATGCTGCCTCTTTCGTGTGGCCTTGGCCACCTGGGCAGATCTTACATGGCCAGTGGGCAGCCGAGGGCGGGTGAGGGCGGATCAAAAACACAGGGCTTAGGAGCAGGAGCCGCCTTGCCTCACCCCAGCTTGGATTTCAGTGGCTCCTGGATGGCACCAAGGCCAGAGCCTATGCCCAGCAGGACGAGAGAAAGGCTGACCACCTCGTCCTCACCCACGGCTGCCGAGGGCCTGCGCCATGGGTCTTGTGGAGTCCCTGCCTTTTAGCTTCTCTTCTTACTGCTGGCTGCTTCAGGGCCTCCCACTCCCCTGCTCGGACCCCCAGTCCAGCCCAGCTCTTTCCCAAGGTAGAAAAAGCGGCCCAGTGGAAAACTCACCGCAGGGCAGCAACCTGATCGCAGCCCTCCACCCTCAGTGGCCAGATCCCCCACGGGATCCAGTTACCACGTCTCTGATTCCTGCTGCCAGGAGCAGTGAGGCCCCCTGCAGCACGTAGCCGCATCCTGGCCTGGCCCCCGGCTCCCTAGTTCCTGCCCTCCTGTGCAACCCTGGGTCTGACACTATCCTACATCTGCCCCTGGGCTGCGGGCTGGGGAGGCAGCGGGAAGGGTGGAAGGGCCAGGGGTACTTGGCCCTGAGCAAAGATGGCAGTGTGGAGACAGGGGGCCTAGCGTTCCTGTCCACTCGGTCTGGAGAGAGCAGCTCCTGTGGTCTGCTGTGGTGGGCTGGGATGCTCACGCCCAGGGACCATGAAACAAGCAAGAAAACAGGATGTGTGCCAGAATCCTATGCACCCTGCCAACTCTTGGGTCTTGATGCTCTTCCCTTTTGTGCGGGGAGCTCAGGGTGGCCTGGCTTCAGCGCCCTCAGCAGACTTGGGGGCCCAATTGCTGCTGCTTAGATCACAGGGTCACAGGCTTGGCTTGTGGCCTTTACAGACTTGAGTTCAGGGAGGCTGTATGGGGGCGCTGTCGTCCCCATGCTTCTAAATGTCTCCCACAGAATCCCAAAGAAAGGGGTGGGCCGTGCAGCTCAGGAGACACGGGGCCCACCTGTCTGTGCCCTCCCCTCCCGACTCTCACCAGCATCACACAGAGCTACAGTGGCTCCTTGTCGCTTTCCCTACTTCCCTGTGTCCTGCACCTGCCTCAGGGGACCACAGCCAAGTGGGGAACTGCAGCCGCCCATGCTGGGCCTGAGCCAGAACTGGCGTCCTCCAACAGGAGGTGGAACCACGGGAAGGCTCTCCAGAGGGACAGTGACAGGAGGACATGGAGCACTTCCAGCCATGCCCCGTCCTCCTGTCCTCCGGGGTCCTTCCTTCCTCAAGGGGCTTGTACCTCAGCAAACTGCCACAGAGGTCGACGTTTGGAAAGAACGCAGATCCATGCATCTGAAGACACTGAAGGGTAGGCTTCACGGCAGTGTCATGTGCGGACCCTCTGCTCTCAGCTCTCTCTTCCGGCCAGCTTCATTCACCCCGAGGCACCGACTGAAGGTGTAGTCAGGCTGTGTGTCAGGTGCTGCCCTAGAGACACAGTGGGTGGGGGCATGATGGCCAGGCAAAAGCCCCAGGCACCAGGGTGGAGTCCACACTTGGAATGGCCTCCCATCGCGTCCCAAGGGTCTGTGAGGAGGGAGGCTTGCGGGCCAGCTGTGCCCACGGTACCCTAACCCGGTCTAGCCAGCCTGCTCAGGGGCTCTAAGAGTCTCATCTTTCTGATTGGCATAATGGCTTCATTAGCCTGACTGGTGCTGGCAGGGTTGACTGGCATCAGGTGCCTGGCAGGAGGGGGGCCTGGCCGCCAGGCACTAAGTGTCCTGGCTCTGGACAGGCCCTTGGAAAGAGAGCCAGAAGTATCAATGGCCACTCAGGTTTGGGACATGTCCCCTCACAGGCCCAGGTGGAGCAGGGCTCTTGGCACTGACCTCTATGATATGAGGGGTCTCCAGGCTGCAGAGAATGCCTTGGAGGGAGGCAGCTTTCTTGGGTCTCTCCGTACGGACCTCCACTGCAGTGCTCAGGGCTACAGCCCACTGTCCACCAAGGCCTTTCACTTCTGGATCTCATCTGGGGTTCTACCACGGAACACACATTTCCTCGGTGTCTGACTGGTGTTGGGTCTGGTTCCTGTGCTGTGATGCTGTTGACATGTCTGGGTATGGAGAGTGTGTGTGTGTGTGTGTGTGTGTGTGTGTGTGTGTGTGTGCGCGCGCGTGAAGGGTCACAGGGAGAGAAACGGGCTGGGATGGGCTACGGCGGTCACCTGGAGAGTCGGCCCAGCCCCTGGTGATGCTGCTCTGGACACAAGCCCCAGCAGCCGCTATGGACGCTGCTGTAACAGTCAGGGTGTGCATGCTCTAAGGATCCCTATCTGGGGCACAGGCCATATCCCAACTACACACAGGCTGTGGGTCCTCCAGCCCACCCACAGAAAGCACCACCTTCATTTCGGGTGCCCAACTGTGTCTGCCATTGTGGCCTGTCCAGGCTGCACCCTGGGACCCCACTGCCCCCTGAATCAGAGGGGAAGATGGTTGCCCAAAGTATGGCTGTCGATGCCGCTGCAGCACGTGGGTGCCAAGGTCAGCTGCCTGGCGCACCAACTTCAACACGTATGTCGTGGGGGAGGGGCACCTTTGATGGACCCTGAGAGGCCATTTGAGCCCCAACCCCTACTTCAGAGAGCAGCCAGCTGTGAGTGGACAGAGCAGTGGGCCCTGCTAACCACAGCGGGGTCTGAAAGGACCACCGCAGGGTTAGACTGGCTTGACGCCCTTCTCAATGAGAGTCCAGCCGGACACTGGACAGCCCTAATGGACCCAGACTCAAGGTGTTCACTGCATAGCTTGCTCACTCTTAGAAAACCTCCTCAGAGTGCTGGGGGTGGGTCTCCTTCACTACTGAAGGGCCCCTTTGCCCCACCCACAGCTGGCCCCAGTAGAGTCCCCAGAACCCAGATGATTTCCCCCACCTCCGTCTAGATTAGCCCAACCTCGGGCTCCTGCCGGCATGGCATGCTGCCCACTGCCATGGCAACCAACACGTGGGCCAGGCTCAGTGCCCAGCAACGCTGACACTGGTGGTGTGAGCTGGCACAGGCCTGTGAGTGCAGCGATGGGTGTTTCCGTCCTTGCTGGCTCAGAGTCCTGGAAACCGGGAAACAGCTGGGCAGACCCGCAGCCAAAGGCGGACCCTTCACAGCCCAGCTCTGCCCTCCTCCAGATGTGGCCTCAGCCCCAGCCCTCAGCTGTCCCACGAACCCCCGTAGCCAGCCCCTTCCTGGCCTCCCAGGCTCCTCGGCCCTGCGAAGAGGGCAGGCTACTCAGCTGGCACCATGCTGCCCAGCACCGTCTATGACCTTGACCCCCTCACCCTGGTGCAGGGCACCTGCTCCAGCTCAGGGTCCAGTTTGGCAGAGGTCCAAGGCCCTGCCTCCTGCTCTTCTCTCCCTCCCAGGGCTCGGGAATCAATTTTTCATGCTAGGCTCTCTGCAGTTCCACTTACTCCACTTACGCACACCAGAGGGGGAGGGGCCTCCCTCCCTTCATCTGCCAGATTCACTTACCGAGGCCTGCAGAGCTGCTTTAGGGTAACAGGCTCCACTGAGGAGGGTCACGTCAGAAAGGACTGCTCAGTGACCCCTCATCTCATCCATGCCTCTTCCACCCTCACCCCACCCCAGGCAAGGCAGCCCACTGAAGTCCCTGGAGGCTTTTTGTTGCTGCTTTTCTTTTTAAAGATTTTCAGATTACAACATAATCACATCATTTCTTCCTTCCTTTTCCTCCCTCCAAGCCCTCCCTTCCCCCACCAACTTGCTGTCTTCCAATTTCATGGCCTGAGCTCACAACTGTCTGTAACTCCAAGATCTGACCCTCTCACATAGACATACATGCAGGCAAAACATCAATGCACATAAAAGGTAAATAAATTAAAAAATTTTTAAAAGACAGAGAAAAGAGTTAGATTCGGGAGACTGTCAGTGAATACTGTGGCCCCGAGTTTATTCAATGGCTCCTTTTTATAGGCAAAGCAAGTCACACCAACACAAGGAAGGGGTTCATGGAAGAGTCAAAAGTGTTTTCTTTTTTAATTAAGAAAGGTTTTGTTTTTAAAGACAAAACAAATGTATGAACACCATTCAAATGCCACGGTAAGCATTCACTGAGTTTTATAAGACAACAAAACTGTGTTGTCAACTAAAAGCTGAAACCACTGGACACCTAAGAAGCCACTGTGTGCGTGTAGCCAGATGGAAATGCGTGAGCAACATGAAGCCAGGGAGGATGGAGCGCCACACTTTCAGACCTTTTCCCTCTCCACACGCTCCTGTTCTGCCCTGTTGAAAATTAGCCAGCAGGCAAATGGACAAAGAACTTAATATCAAAGAACACTTCCAAAGGTCAAAGATAGATTCAAGGTCACGGCTAAAATTACCACAGAGGTTGGGGGGAGGCTATCAAAAGCCGTATTTCATGAAATGGCCGACACTAAATCTAGTCACATGTGCTTGCAGAGGAAAGGAAACCCGGTCTCAGTAGAGGCTGGTCTTCTTCATGATGCGCAGGAACTCCTGCTCACTGACCTCTCCGTCTCCATCTCGGTCAGCCTCATCGATCATTTCCTGCAGCTCCTCATCAGTCAGATTCTCACCCAGCTCCTTGGCCACACGTTTCAGATTTTTAAAGGATATTTTTCCAGTTTCATCATCATCAAAGAGCTTGAAGGCTTTCAGGATTTCTTCTTTGGTGTCTTTCTCAGACATTTTCTGAGTCATTACTGTCAAAAAGTCACTAAAGTTCATTTTTCCTGTGCCTTCCTTATCAATTTCACTTATCATTTTCTTGATTTCTTCTTTCTTGGGTTCAAAGCCCAGGGCCCTCATTGCCACTTTTAGTTCCTTGATGTCTATAGTTCCAGTTCCATCAGCATCGAAGAGATCAAAAGCTTCCTGGATTTCCTGTTTCTGTTCTTCAGTAAGTTCAGGCTTAGGGCTCATCCTTTTTCTCTGGCCACTGGATGCCATGTTTGTTTTCTTAAAATTAGAGGCCATCACCGAAGGGTCTCTTCAGCCAGTTATTAAGGCAAAGTGTACTCGTGGTCTCAGCCCAAACTTGTTTTCTTAAAGCACTTCCCTGTGTAGCAGATATGGTTCACGGTCACACAAACAAGGTAAAGGTAAAACGCCATGCTTATCCCTGTCTCAGGGTAAAGGCAAAACACCGTGCTTATCCCTGTCTCAGGGTAAAGGCAAAACACTGTGCTTGTCAAGCAAGCAGCTCTCCACAATGGGCTTTCCCTTTTTGTTTTAAGACAGGGTTCCCCAGTGTTGTGAAGGTATGCCTGGCCACAATGCCTGTCTCTGCTGTTGTGCAGGTCAACAACCTGTCAGGCGTGAGGCCCTTAGGTCTGATCTCCAAAGCCACCAGAGCACAAAAGATGACTCAAACATCTGTTGTATGGCATCTCCTTTGTCATCTCTTTCGCCACCCCAGGCCCCTTACAAACAGAAGCCATGGAAGGAGGAGAGAGACCACAAGTCTCCAAGAGGAGCAGAGGGTGTCACAGCAAGTCTGACACCTGCTCGGACAACCATGAGCCTCTGCCTAGCCTTCATCTCCGAAATCTTCCCATTTCTATTCACACAAAGGCCCAGTCACGCCTAGACCCAGCACCGACAGCCTGCAGAGCTCAGCTCACCCTCCAGGAAGCAGGCCCTCCTCAGGCACAGCTGCCTGTGTGCCTGTCTTTGCGTGCGCATGCACCTGTGACGAGGCTGGAAGACATGGCGCCTCTCTACTGCGCTCCACCTTCCTTTTAGGTTATTTACTGTGGCTCTAGCATTCTCCCGTCTCACCGCACAGCCATCGAGAAACCAGCTGTTGGTGGTCATCTACAAATTATTCATTTTGTCTGTGTGAGGTCAGAGGACAGCTCTCCTTCCTTCACCTGGGTTCTGTGGATTGAACTCAGGCCAACAGGCTTTCACAGGAAATGCCTTTCCCTACTGAGCTGTCACTGATTCAGGCAGGCTGGCTGGTCAGGAAGCCCTAGGTTTCCCCGTCTCCACCTCCCAAGTGCTGGGATCACAGGCACAGAGAGGCACCAGGTGGCGGCACACTCCTCTAATCCCAGCCCTTGGGAGGCAGGGGCAGGGAGATTTCTTTGAGCCCCAGGCCGGCCTGGTCTACACAGAGAAACCCTATTTCAACCTACTTTTCTTAGTTGTATTTCGGTTGCTGTGATAAGCACCATGAAAAAGCAACTTGGGGAAGGGAGGGGTCTATTCCCCTCACAGCTTCTGATCCCGAGAAGGCAGACGCAAGCAGACAGCAAAGCAGAAGCCGCAGTTTGGCTTACTGGCTTGTTTTCCATGGCTGCCTGCCTGCCTGCTTTCTTGTACCATCAGCCAGGACCACCAGCCAGAGAGGGATGTCCCCACAATGAGCTGGGCCCTCCCACATCAGCCACTAATCAAAGCGTGTCGTGTCTGTGTGTGTGTATCACATGTGTGAAGCCACCCGGGCAGCAGGCACCAGACCTCCTAGAGCTAACAGGCAGGTAGCTGTGGGACGAGTGAACCTGGGTCCTCTGGAAGGGCCGAGGCATGGCACCAGTCTGGCTACTTGCCCGTCGCCTGCAGGTAACTTTATGAACGGCCACAGAATGAGAAGTCGTGGGGATTAGGAGTGTGGGTGCTCACAACCGCAGAATACAACGATCCTGGGGCAGAGCCATAAAAAGTGCTGGAAATACTAACAGACAAAGGTGTCACCGATGGTCTGTAGATGACCACCAACGGCTGGCTTCTTGATGCTGTGTGCTAAGACGGGAGAACGCTAGAGCCATGCCTGCTCCACAAGAGACATCGGGCTTAAAACAGTTGTATTTGACGTTACTTCAAAAGAAAGATTGAAATGAAAACGCTCAGGCCAGGTGTGGCGGTGCACACCTTCAATCGCAGCATTCAGGAGGCTCCAGGCCAGCTTGGCCCTGCTTTGGAGGGCCATCTGGTTCACACAGTGAGTCCCAGGGCAAGGACGCACAAAATAAGACAAAAAGAAACAAGAATAAGTCCAGGAAAAAAGTGAGCGGCTGGAGAAACAGTCAGCAGCCAGCCCCTGCAGTCTTCCAGGGACCCACGCTCACTTCCTAGTATCCGTAACTGCAGCTCACAACTGCTTATCACTCCAGATCAAGGGGACTCAACGTGCCTGCATTCACATGACAGACATGCATGAACACACACACACACACACACACACACACACACACGTTTTGTAAAAATAAAGATTCCACCAAACGGCCGGAAGCTAAGAAGCAGTCCCACACCTACTCCATTAAAGCGACAGAGGCACCAGGTGGTGGTCACTCCTTTAAACCCAACACTTGGGAGGCAGGGGCAGGTGGATTGATGTGAGTTCGAGGCCAGCCTGGTCTACAAAGGATAACCAGGCTACACAGAGAAAAACAAAACAAAACAAACAAAAAAGCAAAAGAAAACAAACAAAAAACCCAAAACCAAACAGAAAAGAAATTCAGCTCTTACAGTAAGTGAAAACGGATTTTTCGGGGCTTGGTCCTCTCCAGCACTGGAGAGCCAGAGGTGGGCAGATCTCTGAATTCAAGGCCAGCCTGGTCTACCAAGCAAGTTCCAGGTCAGCTGGCGCTATACAGAGAAACCCTCTTTCAAAAGATAAAAAAACAAACAAAAATCCGAAAACAAATGTGCTGACCTTTAATCCTAATGACGTTGAGGACAGCCTGGTCTACAGACCAGAAACACAGCAAGACTTTGTCTCAAAAGCAAAAGACAAAGAGTTGGAAGGAAAAAACCTTTGACCTGGACCCCAGGCCCCGCCCCACTGTGGCCTGCAACGCCTCCTCTACCCTGCCTTTGCTTTCCTTAGAAATGGCGTTGTTCGGTGGCTGTGATGGTGTGACCGGCGACACCCAGGGAGCAAAGGCAGGAGAGCTGGGAGCGAAGCTCCGACACTCGCAAACAGTCACAGCAGGTCGGGTTGGCTGCACCTTGGGGCCTCTCTGTGCGTGTCTGCTCCGGACAACGCTGCCTGGTCAGCAGCCGCGGCCCCTCCTGGCCGGAGGGCTGCACTTCCGTCAGCCTCGCGCAGTCGGGCCTACCTGGCGGTCTGCAGGACGAGGACACCGGCCGCCGCCGACCTCCTTCCGCAGGGCCCAGGCCACGGCGCCACCTGCCGGAGCCTGTGCTGCAGCTCGAGCCCCGGGGAAGCGGCCCCGCCCCGAGTCCCCGCGCACCCTGGGAAGCCGCGCGCGCGCAGTGGCGGCCCCGCGTTCGCCTGCTCCGCCCCTGGCCGCGGTGCTGGGAGGCGGCGACGGCGGCGGGCGCTCGGCGGCCCCCGGCGTTGAAGTCTGACGCAGCCTTTCCGCACTCCCAACCACCCACCGCGCCCCTGACCTGCCAGTGCTGACCCCATGACCGAGGAGAGCGTGGACGAGGCTTCGCGGACGCGGGTGGCCAGAGGCTTGCAGCCGGGCTGGTCAACACGCTCTCTTAGTGGGCGAGTGCAAGCTGGGCACGTTCCCACGCCCCGCACAGCGCACTCTCCGCCCGGCCACACCCACTCCTCCTCAGGGGAAGGCAAGGGTAGGGGTCCCGCCCCCCTCCACTCGGGCACACCGGCCGTGGCAAGGTGGGACAGCGCTCGGAACGTCCAGCCCTGACCTGCTTCCCAGTCGGGCGCTGACGCCCAGCCTCCCGAGGGAGGCACAGCGGCCCCGACCCAGGTCAGCTCTGCAAGCTCGTCAGCAGCCAGTCGCTAGAGCGGGAGCGTGGTGGGGAAGTTAGCCCGGTCCCCCTGTCAGTCCCTTGCCGCTCTCAGCCAGGTCGCTGCTCCGTGGCCTCTCTGGGGTCACCGGGGCTGAAGAATGACGGGGAACTGGGAACAGGGAAAGCGGCCCTGATGACGGAGGATGTCTCCCTCCAGCTGCTCCAATCCTTGCACTTTGGGGTCAGGGTGGGAGCTGGAAAGCCCTCCCTCTCCCTCCACTTGGCCTCCACCCACGTGTACGGGGTCCAGCTCATCAAGGACGGGCTCCTGTGGTGCTCAGTGGGCGTAACTGGAAGTCTCGGGTCGATGGACCTGCGGGTGGGGAGTCCCCCAACTTAGGTGCAGAGGTGGAAGGCTGTCCTCGGGCGAAGGCAAGGTCAGTGAGCACGGGTGGAGCTGCAGGCTTAACCCCACACCAGAGCCCGGTGCCCTGGATAGGCAGAGCCCCGGCAGAGCTGGCAGCCGAGGGGGGGGGGCAGGTACACGAGCTCACAGCCGGCCCAGCCTCTAAGATGGAGTAAGGGGTGCGTTGCAGGACCACTGGCCTGTGCACACAGATGTGGACCGGTGCTGCCGGCTCCGGCTTTTGTTGTGCGGAGTCCTAGCATGGTGTGCGTGAATGTCAGCTTTAGGGGTGTTGGTCTCTCAGGAGGCCGCGTCCTCAGCACATTTCACAACAGCAGAGTGAAAAGCAGGTGACACCAGGCTGCTGTGTGGGACGACAGGGAGCAAGGCCCTTGGAGGACAGCGTCTTTTTAGAGACAGGGTTTCTCTAGGTGGCCCTGGCTGTCCTCAGCTCACAGAGCTCCGCCTGCCTCTGCTGCTGGAGATATGGAATCACAGTGTGGGCCGACACACCCGGCTGGGGCTGAATTATTCTCTCAGGAGCTTCAGCTGGCCACGCTGGGTATCCGTGAGGGGCGGCCAAGGCACGGACAGGCAGTCCTGGTAGCCTAGCCCCAGGTCTGACACGTGCACTAAGCGAAAACAGTACCTGGGAACACCTGGAGGACAGCAGGCTCACACCTGGCCAACACCCCGTGTATTGGGTGGTATGTCCTGCAGCACCCGGCCCTCCACGCCGTGATGTGCCCGGTGCTCTGCTCACCACCCCACCCCACCCCCGGAGACTGCCTCCCCTGCGGCCAAAGGCCGGCCCTGTGCTTGCCAGCTCAGACAGAAAATAAGCGCAGGCACTCGGTGTCTGTTAAGTCCTAGATCGGGAGCGTGAGCTCTGGGTATTCAGCCTTTGGGTTCCTCAGACTGTCACATTTACCTTTTATTATGGGATTGTAGACTCACAGAAAAGTTTCAAAGACAGCAGAGAGCCCCTTACCCTCGAAGTCAGTGTGGAAGCTCGCCCTTGCTGCATTCCACAGCTGAGCGGGTCTCACAGCGTTTTCAGCGTCTGCTGCTCCAGGGTTAGGCTGACATGCCCGATGGCAGATGGAGGGGCAGCGTGTGGAGGCCCAGGCCCAGGCTCCTTGTCCCATTTGCCTAACAGGAAGCCTGGCAGCTAGGCTAGGAAGGACGGCAGTGCCTAGGTGGGTGGAGCCTGTGCTCGGGAGCAAGGTGCCAAGCACGAAGAGGGAACTGACAGGCAGCAGAGGGCACGCGGGAGGAGGTCAGGGCGGGCCCGACTGCAGTGAACCTCCCCGACTCGTCACCTCCTGCGCTGCTGTGTTCTTGTCCATTAAACGACCGGAATATGGACCAGGGCGCACGCGGGTCACAGCGAGAACTACCCGAAGCCAGCACAGAAAAAATTCCTATCATTTCTCCAGACTGAGTCTTTACACCGGGAGGACACACCCCCTCGGGCCGACCCGCCCCCATCCACGGCGGCCAGAACGCCCGGCCCTGGGCGAGGCCTCGCCCTGCCGGGCTGCAAAAGACAAAAATCACAGCGCCCCCTTCCCGTGCGCGGCGCTGGCTCCGGCGGGGACACCCCTCCCCCGCGTCCCCAGGCGCACAGCCGGGGGTCTCCGCGCGCACCGGCCTGGACCGCCTTTGTCCCGCGGGCCAATGGCTCGCCTGCTTGACTAAATAAGGCGAGGAGCGAGGCCCAGGGCCCCGTCCGTTACGTCCGCCCCCGTGACTCAGGGCGGCCACCGTCCTCCCGGCGCCGGGCGGCTCGAAATCGCCAAATATGGCCGCGCGCCGCTCCCTCCCCCCGCACACCTGAGCCGCCCCCTCCCCCCGCACACCTGAGCCGCCCCCGGGCCCGCCGGGGGGCAGGGCTCCCCCGCTGGCGGCGGAGGGAACCCGGGCCTCACAAAGCGGCTCCGCGGTCGCGGCGCCTTCCGCACACACGCAGACAAAGGCGTTCCAGACAGGGCCGGGGGTGGAGAGCGCGGGCCCCCGGCGCTCCCTGGGCCGCAGCTTCCCGAGGCCTCCGGCGCGCCCCGGCTCCCCTGTGTGACAGCACCTCCAGGGCCCCCGCCCCAGGGCAGAGCCGCAGGCCGCAGCGGGCGGCGTGTCTGCAGGTCCAGCCGCGTCCCCGCCACGGGGGGCGCCCACCTGTGACGGCCTCGCTGGCCGCCCCGGGGGCGCTGGGGTCCTCGCAGGCCCGGAGCCCCTCACCTCACGGCCGCCCCGCCTCCCTCCGCTTAGCCCTACGCCGAGCACCTCCGGAGCCTGCCTCCCCTCGGTGCACCCAGGCGGGCCCGGAAGGGCCGGCCAGGACCCCGCACGGGTGACCGGGTTCCCAGCGCCCCGCGGGGACAGGCAGCGCCTCAAGCCGGACCTCACGCTCCATAGAGGTGTCTCGCCAGCCTAGAGACGGGCGGGGCCGGGTCAGACCTGCCCTGCCTCAGTTTCCCTAGAATGTGCACTCAGTACCGCCCCGGGGAGGAGGCCGTCCAGTGAGAGCCCAGGCCGGGGCGACCCCTCCCCTGCGGAGGGGCCTAGGCCGTGCGGGAAGAGCGGGGACCCCTCCCACGTGACTGAGACGCGATGGCCGCCGCCCGAGCCCCCCGGGGGGCAGCAGCGATGGCGGCCGGCTGGGCTCGGAGCCCCTGAAGTTCCCGGGGTTCCGCGGGGCGCAGGGTCCACGGAGGGGCGGGGGCCGCGGGACTCACCCCAGCTCGGGGCGCGGCCCGCCGGGAGCCGGCGGTTTCGGGGCGCAGCCCGCCCGGCGGTTTCAGGGCGCAGCCCGGGCCGTTCCCGCGGCTCGGCAGCCCCGGGCAGGGCGGGGCCGAGTCC